TGCATTCTGCCATCATGTATAACAAATTAGAATAAATAAATAATTTAATAAAAAATCATCATCAACAAACCAGTGGCTTTTAGAAGAGAAGCATCTCAGTACTATTTCTTTGCTTTGTGATTGAATATTTGAAAAACTCAAATCATGAGACTATCTACCCTTGACCCTGGCAGCATCCCAATTCTTGTAATTATTATGACACCATAGTCCACATGGTTTAGGGAGGTCAAACATTTCAAATCACTCAGATTTTGTACAGGATATGTGTAGCTTTCACCAATGAAGTTCCACCTTTAAAAATGGATTTACCCAATTATATGCCTGAGTCTACATCCTCTGTGATCAAAGGAAGGAGGAGGAGGAGGAGGATGGAGAAAAGGAAGAAGGGCAGATGAAGATCTTTATAAAGGAGGAAAATAAGTCAGGTAAATAAAAAGTCTTCTACTGCTTTCTTCAACTTCTGCTTAGTAAGATTGGAAACAGCACATATGATAAATGAACCATACGTAAGCTAATAGCTCCAGCAATGGTCTCAGGAAAACTTGACCTTGTGCATCTTTGCTGCATGGCTTGGGGRTGCTGTGCTTGTGTCCTATATGGTTCCTTACTCTCAGTTATTCCCCTGCTATTTCAACAAGCTGTCCCATCTACTATAGTAACCCATACAGCAGCCTCCACACCCTCTTCTATTTTCTTCTAAAGTTTGGAATTTCAAAGTTAGAAGGAAGAAGGTAAATTGCATTTTTATTCCTAATTATTTATTGTCTCCACCCATTGACATGTGACTTGTGAGACAGGGTCCCAGTGGAAAGAATATATTTCCCTGCACCATTGGTGCCAGTGATACGGCTTTGGCCAGTGAACTGTGAATGGAAGTGAAGTGCCTCATGATAGAAATGCTGAGTTGCAATACGCATTTCTATGTGCTGCCCTAGACAGGCTATGTCACATACAGGGGCTACCCTGTCAATCCAGACTCTAGAATTAAGAGTAAAGCGGGTCAGGGACCCAATGAACCTAAAGTCAGCATAGTAAAATGCGAGCAGATCATATCTCTCTCTCTCTCTCTCTCTCTCTCTCTCTCTCTCTCTCTCTCTCTCTCTCTTTTCTTGGTACTGGGGATTGAACCCAGGGGCACTTTATCACTTTATGACTGAGCCACATCCAGCCTTCACCCTTTTTATTTTTTATTCTGAGACAGGGTTTTGCTAAGTTGCCAAGGCAGGCTTTGAATTTGCAATCCTCCTGCCTCAGTCTCCCCAGTTGCTGGGATTATAGGCATATACCACTGCTCCCAATCTTGCATGTYTTTCCTGACAAAAATCACTGAGTTTTTTTTTGTCATATCTCAAGTTTGAAAAARTTTATTAATACATGTTTGTTATCGATGTATGTTATACATGATGGCAGGATAAGATAGGAGGAGATTGAAGTCAGGCCTCAAGATAATCCTTTATTTGAAAGGGGAGTTCTGATTTGATTCCCCTGTATCTCTTTCCCTACAACATATACACTGACACTCTAGGTAGCTGAGCTTCAGCATAGAAACCAGCTGCTCATTTATAATTGTGACTACTATTCCTTGTATAGGAGTCCCCATTAGCATCTTCCCTTGAAACCCATCAGATACACAGTGGATTATCTGGTTGGGGCGGRGGGCTTGGAAGCAATTGAAGAAAATGAAAAATCAAGTCACAATTTTCTATCTCACAGCTGGCATCTTGAGCACACAGAATAAACCAACACCCTTCATCAGATGGATATAAAAATCACTTTGCAATACAAGTAGGAATTTTTTAAATAGTGTTCTTATACTATGAAGCAAATAGAAGTCTTCAATTTTTTCATACTAGAAAATAAACCTTATATAATTTTTTTTAACCAACCCCTTACCTTCTGTGGACCCTTTTGTATGAAGGCGTTTATTGAGTTCATCCAGCTTGTTCTTCATGAGTGAATACCAGAAAAGCAGGRGGGGAAAAAAGTAAGTCAGAAATRTTCATTCTTTCCTGTACCCTCTCTCTATTTGATACTGCCTGCATCTTAAACTCTGTTAATATCATAAACTACTCTGAGGAATTTCTGTTTTGACATTCTAATCTCTACTTCCTAGTGGTTCTGTRTCTATGAGCACCTTCTTTAATCTCTCCATGACTGTTTCCTTTCCTTAAAGCTGTGGGAAATCATGTATCAACTTCCCATGTTGGTAATGATGTTTACCTGGGCATACAAAAACATATATAATTAATTATAATAGTGCCTCAGTATTTCAGATCAATCCTTAGGTACACTAAAATAATTTCCAAACTAATGGATGAAATTGCTTTCTCCAGAACTAAAAATTAATAAGTCAACAATTCTAAAACATAACTGGTCAGTGACTTTACCTTCCACTACATATATCCTAGAGACATTTAAGCTTAAATGTCCAAAATACATTTACAATAACATTTGTTGCAGCATCATTCATAAGAGTAACATTTGAAATTACCAAGCATTCTCAAATAGGAAAATCAATGAAATCAGTATGATACATTTTTACAATTAAATACAACTATAAGTAGTAAAAATGAGTGAGCTAACAATATATTAATACACATAAATCTATCTCAAAATCATAATGATAACATTTAAAAGGTATTTCATGTACAGTGGATTATAAATAAATGTTCACTGATTCYTTATGAAAACAACAATGATAAATAAAATAATTGCAGGGTTCAAATAGTATAATAGCATTCATATAAAAATTTATACTATGCAAAATACACATAAATCATCTTTGGAAACATACTAAAGATTACATCAYATATTACTTGAGCCATATATACATATATAATGTTCAGACACATGCATTAGAAATACACACACTACATTCAGGGCACCAGTAAACTCTGGGCAGGAAGGAGTTAGGATGGGAAGGGAAGCATGGAACTTCCACTGAACCTGTAAAGTTTTCTCTCTTATGATTTGTGTACTTAGGTATTCACTTTTTTAATTCTTTACATTTTTTTTCAATATGTCTGGATGTCTCAGAGGAAGAAGGTAGTCTTTTGGAGAAAGCCACAGACTAAGACAAAGCAGAATTTTTCTGAAACAGTTTGAAAAGATATCCAACAGTCTCCTTCTTCTCRGAAGACAGATAATTCAGAAAACAAGAGGCAACCAATTGATTCCTGTAAACCTGTATCTGGCCTCCACCTCACCTCCCGAGATGACTTCCTGTTGACTTTGGCAATTCGACTCCTCTAAACTGAGCTCTGAGATTTCCTGCCTTGTTATAACTAGTCTCTTTGGTTCTTGTCAAGAGAAAAAAAAAATGGGAAGAAGATTTAAATGGGGAAATGAGGAAGACAAGCAAACTGAACTCCTACARTAGGGAACCTCCAAATGTGGCTCCTTGGACCCCCAGGAATCCTGRAGGGAAGCAAGTAGAAGGAGATGGAGACTAGGCAATAGGAGAAATATTTTACATTTTTCTAAAGCTAAAAAAAAATCATACATATAGTTACCAAAACACCACACATACAAATATGCCAGATTGCCTTGCTTTGGGCTGGCATTGTGTCAGTTGCATGTGGTAGCATTGGTTCATTCCTGCTGCTAGAAGCACTGGTTGGCTGCTATATTGGTCTTTGATCAATATAAATGTCAATAAGCAAATTATTGCCTAGCATTTTAGTTTGTTTGGTTTTCAAAAACTGTTCAAACATGGAATGATGGTAGTCTCTGTAGCAACAATACTGCCTCATTGGTGTTGTACCTTTCCCCACCCCACTCTGTGTCCTGGGAGGCTGACCTCTGGGGACTGTATCAAAAGGCAAACTTGCCCTCTRGTTTCCTGTTGGACTCTACCAATGGGAGACATCTGTAGGGGAGTAGAGTAGAGGGAAAGGAGGGTATTATTCCCTGTCTCCCTCCCAACCAAGATGCAATTACCTGGACTCAGCTAATAAATCTAATAGTTCCTTCCTACCCAGGTCTCTCTGTTCTGATAACTTGCCCCCACCCCTCACTTTTCAGGGTCTGGATCTATCCTCCTACCCCSGAGCACCTTACCATTCCTCATTGACTTCCATCTACCCTGCCCAGCCTCTGTAAATAGTTCTCTCATTAAACACGATTGAAACAATCTTTTCAAAGTGTCTTTCAAAACCTCTTTATCTTGGCCACCTGTTTCCTGCCAGGATCATGACTGATCGATATGTAATCCATGGCTGAAGAAAAGAAAGTTTTTGGTTGGGATTTATGCATAGAATAACATTTTTTTATTCTTCATTTTCTATGTCTGTGTTATGGTAGTAATGAGCCACTGCTGGATCCTTAAATTTAAATTTTAAATAAGAAAATTAAAATCTCTTGATCACACCATCCAGTGGCTCTACTTTGGACAGCAAAGAGAGAAACTACTTTCATCATCACAGAAAGTTCCACTGAACATGCTGTTACAAACAAACCCCACCAGSTCCTCAGTGATAAATATAAAGGTTATTTCTACCTTTGGCTCTACCTTATCATCACAGGTGCAGCCCAGGTCAAAATCAGACTGAAGGTACATAATCCCTGGATAATTTGGTCGGGTAACTTCCTCTGGCATGGTTGGCCTGAAGGTATTAACACGCAGGAGGTGATTCAAACTCCCATGGGTTCCATTGTTAGGAGCTGGCTTCAATCCCAGGAGATCTGATGCAAAGAGAGAAAAGGAACCAGGTGCTTCTTAAATGTTTTTCGATGATATATAATAAGAATCAAAACCTTTCACCTCCAATGRTGTGTAAACTCCCAAACACAAATCAAAATTGAGTAACACCAAATTTAGGTAGCAAGCATCCCTGACATACCCCCAAAACCATTCTGTCCTCACCATGTCTTGCCACAGCTTCCTGAAATAGCCATGCTCCTCACTTGACCATGAATAGAGAGAGGCACTGCCCAAAACAAGAGTGGAGGAAGAGGGTCTTACACAGCTATTGCCTATGTGTGTGATAGGTGTGACACTTCAAGGACTCTCAGCTTCCATATCACTGCCTTTCTGTACTTCTCTGGGACTTTTTCATCCAAAATAAGACTTATAATCAATAAATAACCATAGATCTGTCCTCTAATACACTCCACACAAATGTGGGGACAAGAGGAGGCTCTGGCCTGGTGCCTTGAAGTRCCACTGTTACACCAACAGGCTGATTTCATAGCAAGTGAATGGTTGCCAAGTGGGCACACAGTGACTGACTTGCCTGAGCTGGGAGGCAGGACAGGGAAGAGCGAGCAGCCAAGATGGGAAAAGAACCCAGGAGACCCGACTTACAGACTCCCCCTCTAACCACCAGACTGGCACTCCCTTACTAAATAGGAAAAGTTGTCCTCATTCAGCAACTAGAAGCTCAAGGAAGAAAAATAATTAGGAGCACATAAATAGCTGGCCAGGATGCAAGCTGGCAAGATTTTAACGGGGCTGCAATGTGAGAGAGAGAGGTGGGGAAAGCTCCATGCCCAACTCTTGCTTCATCAGGTCTCTGACCAGCAGTGTCAAACTGTAATGCTATGTTGGATCAGCCAGAGGCTGCCAACAGCAACACTGTGAAAACTCCCTGCTAGTCAACTGTTGAAGGGAGACAAAGACGCCTTAGAAGGGATGACATTCTGTCCTCTGAACCAATGAGCAAGTTACAACATTTTTTTTTTTTTTTTTTTGCGAAAAGCAGAGATGGTCTTAGAAGAGACATCTCGTTTCTTTCTCTGACATTCAGGAAGTTCGTACATGAACTAAAGATGGTGTCCCTGGTTTTGATTTAATGAGTGACTTACCACACATGACATTGTAAAGTTCAATGTTTTCAAATGGAGGCACTTTAGTCTTGTACTTAAACGTTGGGCCGTAACCTACAAAAACAGTCTTCCAAAAGAAAAGAAAACAAACAGAAACAATTAACCATTCCTGACTTCCAGTAGCAAGCCTTGCTCTATGTATGAATGCCACAACAAGATGTCACTCACCTCTCCACTCCCATCCCTCCCAACAATGGCTAAAACAAAACGCAACGTCAGCGCACAGTTCTGGGATCCTACCTGCATGCTGTTGACTTTGTTATCAAATCCATGGTCCCCCTGGAAAAAACATTTTCCTGATGGTTTCTTATAAACATCCAGAGGTTTCCTATATTGAAACAATTTTATCATCAGTCAGGATTTCTCCTGAAATCGCTCTGATAAAAAGCCATTTTCAGGATACAGAGGATCTCTGAGAAGGGGCTTTTGAAAGCCCGTTTGTCTCTGTTTTGATTGCATCATTCCTGTGGTGATGACAAGATACTTCTCTTCATTTCTCCAAGCATCCTTGCCTTGACRGTCACCCCACAATCAATGGAGACCTTTGAACAGAATCAGTACCCTCCTTGTAGATCCTCGCAGAACACTTATCCTGGGTAATGTGCTGCCTACCCATGTGCCTCACTAGCCTTCAGAGTGTTAAGACTTTCCCTGTGGGACCACATACCACCACACAGTAGGCTCTTTAAAAATATGAGATATTTCATCAATGCTTTGAGTTCTGGATTCTGTAAAAGGATTGTATGCAAATTTGCCTCTAAGTACACTACAACTAGAGTATAACTGTACAATTGAGAGTCAAATGAACTCTGATGGTGACATCTAACAAAATCCTACACAGTATCTCTTCTTAGAAATAGAAAACGGGGGAGCTGGGGCTGTAGCTCAGTGGCAGAGTACTTGCCTAGCATGTGTGAGGCACTGGGTTCCATCCTTAGCACCACGTAAAAAATAAACAAATAGAGTAAGGGCATGCTGTCCATCTACAACTACAAAAAAAAATTTTAAAGAAAACAAAGAAATAGAAAATGAAAAACTGCTCTCAAGACGTCAAGCTCATTAATCTTTCCCCTTGTAACAGGAATTCACCTTTTACATAAGTGTCATAAGATCCTTTTCCAAATAAAGTTTATGTTTATTAATATGAGTATTCCTAATACCTACAGGGCACATAGCACTGAAKCCAAGAACTTGGGGAAAATAAAGAAATCTATCAAAAGTGTATCCATCCTTAGCAAACAGCACCTTGAAGTTGGGATGATAATAACATATGTGCATATGTAACCCAGCCATGAAAGAGTTAATATTAAAAAGATTTACTGCTAATTAAAATGCCTGGGGATGGGGATGTGGCTCAAGTGGTAGCGGGATCGCCTGGCATGCATGGTGCCCGGGTTCGATCCTCAGCACCACATACAAACGAAGATGTCATGTCTGCTGAAAACTAAAAAATAAATATTAAAATTCTCTCTCTCTCTTAAAAAAAATAATGCTCAGGCATTGCCAAATGGGGGGCAAAATACTCCCTTGTCTCCACCCATGACTTTAAAAAATAAAAATAAAAAAATAAAATGCTTGGCTTGGGTCTCTGTTAATTTGAACAGCTGTCATCATCTTTCACATAACATCTGCTCAACCCCCATATGCCCTTCTTCATATAAACCTGACAACTGCATCAAATTTTCTCTCTTCCCCCCAAGTCACCCCATACATAAAAGGTCCTGCAGRGGGTATAACCAAGCCATTTTGGTCACATCTCTGTAATGCTTCTAACTCCTCATGTCTGTTCTACATGATTTCAATAATTTCTGACCTTCACATATATCTCTTAATAACCCCACATATTTAACTCTATCAACCCCTTCAGATTACAGTAGGACCTTTATGTGTTTGCCACACGTCTTTCTAAGCATTCTCTATTGATACAAGTTCCTAGGGAACCAATTTGTCATTATCTAGTCTCCTTTGTAATCGGAGTAGAGAACCTAGGTAGGATGCATGTCATAGCTATTTTGTCATTGCTGCAGACAGATTCACAGCACTGTTCTTAAGGGAAAAGTTAAAGGAAGAGGGTGTGGAATATGGCTGCCTCCAGGGCTGGTTGAAAATGAACCAACTTTCAGCAATTAATTCTTTAAAACTGTCTGAGCCTCCAGATGTCCTACACCAGATTCCAAAGCAAGACTTCATTAATATTTGAAAGAAGGCAAACATAGGAAATAAAGCAGTGTAAAACACATTCACAATAACAGGTTTTTAGATTTACATTTCCTGAAGTCCTCCATAAACACTGCTATAGGCGAAGTCTCATCAACCAAGATCGCATCCATCCTGGGTCCGAGGACAAGGTCCAAGTTATAATTTTGACTGGTTCAAATAATAAAAACAAAGGCTAAAATATCAATTCAAAATTGGATACAAGCATACACACATGCACATATGTGCATGAAGACCCTCCAAAGGGACACAAACACACTGACACCCAGAACGAGGAGATGCGTCATCTCAGCCCTTAACTGAGATGAGTCCAACTATTTCTTTTAATAATGACCAAGAACCTTAAATTATTTCCAGTTGCCAAAGAGATGGCCTCAAAGATAAGAAACAGAGACAGCCGGCGCCCCCAAGTTACCTTGCAACGTGCCACCTGCGGTCCACCAAGAGATGGATATCCTCAATTCTTCGGTTGTTGGCATAATGCAAGCGTTTGGGAAGGTGCTGTTTCATATAAGGCTTAAAGTGCTGATCTGGTTTTTTACACTGAAATAAAAATGAACATTGGTCGTTTTCTTCTAGAAGAAATCCTAGGTGTTCTCTCCCTTAAAAGTTGAAGGCAGTTTTAAGCTCAACAAAAGAGTGGTTCCTGAATAAGTGGAATTTGTTACCCCCTATCAAATAATATACACTGAAAATAAATAAGTTTAAAGGGGGTTGGTTAGCTCTGGAGATAGTACAGCAGGCTACTAGAAGGGAGGGAGGAATTTGRAAGACACATTCCTGACTCAGGATGACCCTAAACTGAGAGCAGCTCATACCCTAAGGCCTTTCCCAACTGCTTCAAGTCAAGGGGTAGAGAAAGGGAGGTGTGACACACACAGTTCTATCTGAGGAAAGTTGCTAGTGCTTTAAGGGTCTCTGCCCTGAATCAGGGAACCATGGATCCAGATGGTRGGCAGATCTGCTTCAGAGAAAGTAAAGATTTGATTAATGGTGAATGAAGACTTATCAGTTCTAATGGAAGGATCCAACAGTCTCAGTTTTCATCATTGCCAAGACCATTCTGGGGCCTGCAGTTGACCCCAGGCCAGAAGTTTTGAAGGCTCTCAGGGCAACAAATACAGAAGATGGCAGGGAAGTGAGGAAGATGTTCCTCCAACCCACAGTGGGGGATGATCATGGAAGAAAAGCGCTTGAAGAGCAGAGCCCTGGTGGCTTCCAACACTTACCGTGAGGTTAGCAATAATGACTTTGGGGTCATCTGTGCAAAGAGAGAGGGAGAAAGATTTCAAAAAACATGACAATATTTACTTGCAGGATATTCAATTCTTTATCCCAGAAGAACTATCACTTTAATATTTTATTTTAAACATATATATAATTATGTGGGGTTTCATATTTCAGTAAGTAAAATGCAATTAAACAAGTGAAACAAATCCTATAGCAAACTTGTCTGTTGATCCAGGTCTCCTCTTCTGGAAAGAAATTCCTCCTTTCATAGCACCAGGATACTGCTAGGTAAATTTCTCCCAAGTTGCCCAAAATGGTTCCTCTGAAGCAGAGACTTAGTTTATTTTCAATTTAATGTCAGAAACTAAACTGAGCATTGGGGCTTTCAACACAACTTCCTATTTATCTGCAGGTCTTTGAAACAAGTCATCACTCTGTTTAAAATGAATCTTCTGATCCATTGAGTTAAATATTTAAAGGGAATTTTGTTTTCATGGTCATATTATGAGCCTAATTACATAGGGGCTGTTTCTTTCCGGTCATGGGCACACACATATGCATCTTCTTGTTTTTCATTACCAGCAAACAAAGGCTATTTTAGTCAATACTCTGAACCAGCTAAAAGCAAAACTATGTAAATGATGGCTGTGTATAAACAGGATTATATTATCTGAATGTCCTCTTTTGGGGGGATTGTGGGGAGAAAGAGGAGATTGTAGGTTGTTTGGATTTTGTTTTGTTTTCCAAAAATTTGGTGCAGTATGTCATTATAGAATCAGCAAAAAAAGGAAAACAGCATTCAGGAGAGATGCCCACTGTCACGGTGCAGCCATCCCTGCCATCTAAATGTCAGTGTGTGTATCACTGGCTGCTGCAATCCCTAGAGCCTGGTACACAGTAGGCACTCAGTAAATATTTATTAATAAATATTAATATATGTCTGTTCATATTGCTGGAAATTCATGTTGCCTTGAAGTATAAATACATACACTTCAAAAACTACTTTCGGAATCTGTTCTAAAGCTATGAATCCAAAACTAAAATGTGCAGTCCATCCTATTTAAATCGGGGTTAAATTTTAGTTRCATCTTTTAATGGAAAGTGAAAATGATAACAATAATGGCTAACCCAACTTGAGTTCATACCACGTGCCTGTCACTCTAGAAGAGCTTTGGAAGGGTTTTCTCTCTGGTTGTCCATAATCACCCCAGGAGGGAGATGCTTTCAGATCCTCACTAAGCCAACCAGCTTTGGAAGGTAGAGGAGGCCGCACACTCGGATGCCCAGGCAGCCAGATTGACAAAGCCATCTTTAAATCTCTACACTTTTGAGCCTCACAAACCACAGTCCTCAAAGAGGCCAGAGCAAGTTCATATTCTTTGATAATGAAGAGAAATAAACAGCATGGGGGCAATCTTGTACTCAGATACATTCCAGATTATTACTAGAAAATAACAAATGCCCAAGTCCATGTTTGAGACACTAGTCCTTCAATCCTGACCTGCTCATCTTTGTATGACACCAAGTCCCACTTGTATGAACAAAGAGTAGTGATTAAGAATAGGCAAATCTGGGTTTCTGTCCCAGCTTGCCACTTCCTAACTGTCCTCTGAGCCAGCTCCTTCACCCCTCTCTGATCATTCACTTGTACTGCCTACAAAGAAGATAATAATACATATCACACAGGACTATTAAAAGGATTAAATAAAATTGTGTACATATTCAGCTAAAATAAGGATGCAATTAAACCACCATCATGATTAACCCTTCCTTAGCTTTGACAATTTGCTAGTGCACGTTACACCAGTGTCAGTTATATATACATAATGTCTCATTTAGTCTTTCCCACAGTCTGTAATTTACAGATCAGAAAGCCAAGGCACAGAGTGTTAAAGAAGCTTGTCCAACATTACCCAGTGAGTCCCTGGCAGAGCTAAGGTTTGAACCTGGACATGTGGACACCATTTTTGCCTTTTGCTACCCTGCTTTCCTGTCTCTCCCAATTAAGTCACATATGATAATGTTTTGTAGAGCATAAAGCATTTCATTTGGGATAGTTATGATTTCACACTTCCCAAGGAAAGTCCCTCTCTCCCCTAAACAACCTCCCTATTACATTTTCAGATATCAAAAATATCTTTTAAAACAGACATACTCTTTCTTACCTAAGCAAAATGCAAATACTAAATTCAAAAGGTACYCAAACTGCTTGCATCTAGTCTATACCAACAGCCCACCTATCTCAAGTGAGCAAAGACGGAGGCTGTGTGGGACAAGAAAGGACAAGGAAAGAAGAAGCAAGAAACACCAATGTTTTGTTTATTTCACAACCTTGCTTGGAACTGACCTTGGAAATTTCCCAAATGTGTTGACTCAGGAACATAATTTGGGAAAAAAACATTTAATTTTCTAAAACTTTAACCTTGGTTTMAATGGTTTCTTATTACCAAGGCTTGAAAACTCCAAAAATGTTCTTTTTTCAAAATTAGCCATGTCTCCAATAAAACTATAGACTTCTCAAAACCTAGGTRGGCAGCACCTAAATGTCTTAGTGCACAAATTTAAAAGTCTTTAGTGGCATATCATCACTTGAYATGTAAAGCCCAAGTGAGAAAATTATTCCTGTTAATTTCACTGCCAATCTTTCAAAACAGTTGCCAATCCCAAGGGCTTAATATTTTCCCCTCCTGGGTTCCACCAATCACTTTGACAAAGGGGAAGAGCCCCTTCCACGTGGTTAGAAACTTTCAGTGTCCAAAAGTGGTTCTCTTTAGACTCTAGTTTTAGCTAAGGAGCTAGCTTGAACTTAATGCTGAAAAACTCTTCTCTTGTAAACAGAAAGTTATGGTTATAAACATGCCTCAAATTAAGTTAAATTTCTACATGATAAAAATAAGAGTAAATATTTACATAATACTAGTCTGTGCCAGGAACTACTCTGAACAATATACATAGATTAATTACCACAGCTCTGTAAATAGCTACTGTCATTTATCATCCCCATTTTCCCCATATCAGAGGGAAAAAAAAAACTGAGGTTTAGGGTTTAAATGACTTACTCAAGGTCATTCAGCTAAGCAGGAGCAGAGCTAGGATTTTTGCCAAAGTGTCCAGCTCCAGAAAACAAACCTTTACCCAGTCCACTGTATTATCACTCTAACCACGGAGCATTTTAAGCATCAACTTACATTTAGCATTGTTGCTAAATTTGGATCGAATTCTTCCTAGAGTTCCAGGCACTAAAGTAATATCATCCACATTGGTCAGGTAATTACTCAGGAACTCAGTTCTATCACATGTAACATCTTCCATACCTATAAGCAAGGGGGAAAAAGCATTTTCAGGCAATATTAAAACTAAAATCTTAAAAGTGTCACACAGACTCTCAAGATGACATCCAAGCATCACTTTATTTAGTTCTTAACGGGAGGAACCCTCACAGTTGAGATCCTGAAGCTGACTTTCAGCTTTTCAATGGCTCTCTGGGTAACCTTTCACTGGACTTTGATTTAGCCATATCATCTTGCAAGCACCAGAAGATTGAAAATGCATCATCTCAGTAATCATTTAAGTCATTGAGCAAGAACATCAAGACAAAGGAACAATTTAAAGTCATTATGAAAAAGATCTATTCTTAAAATATATACATAGATTTCTTCAAACTCTTCCCAGCTAGGGGTGGTATAAATAACTGGAATACACAGTTCTGTGTCTCTTTTACCAAATGTCTTTCTCCAGCTCACTCCCCACCCCTCGCTGCCCCCCCAGTCTCCCTCCCTTCCCCCCTCCCTCTCTCTCTGCCTCACCCTCCCCCCTCCCTCTCTCTCTGCCTCACCCTCCCCATCCCCCTCTCTCATGCATCTGCTATCTTAAGCACATAATCACCAGCCCTCACTCTGTCTCCTCTGGTGGCCTTGGATGTTACTGACAAAACAATACTGGCAACAAGAGATGAGAAAGGAAAATGTCAGCTCCAATGACCACCCAAACTGAAAAACAAAATAATTCTGAAAACAAGTTGTAAACAGTGTAATTAGAACCGAAAACTAGCAACTAGAGCACAGAAAGGGTCTAGATAAGGAATTGTTTTTAACCAAACAATGTTCTTTCTCCCACCTCAAAATTTCTTTTCTTCCCTCCATCAAGGAAAGTTTCTTGATTGATATTTTTAAAATAATAAAAACAAACGTGGAATCATAAGCTGAAGGCATCTAGTAGAGATCTTTATTTGCCTTTTGGGAATTTATGACATGGAAATTTCATGAAGGTTTAATAGACAGTAGTCCCTCCACATCCAGTTTTGCTTTCCATGGTTTCTGTTACCCATGGTAAATAATAGTCCAAAAATATTAATGGAAAATTCCAAAAGTAAACAATTTGTAAATTTTAAATTGCCATTCTGAATGCAATGATGAAATCTCATGCCTTTCTGCTCTAAACTGCCCAGGACACGAATCATCCCTTTGTCCCAGCGTATCCACATTATATATGCTCTCCACCCCATGCTAGTTGAAAGAAAGAGGCAACATTCATATAAATTTTATTACAGTGTATTCTCCTAGTTGTTATATTTTATTACTAGTTTTTATTGTTAATTTCTTATTGTGTCTAATTTATAAACTAAACTTTATTGTAATTATGTATGTATCACTGGCTGCTACAAAGCATGACATATACAGGGTTTTGTATTATTCACAGTCTTAGATATCCACTGGGGCTCTTGGAACATACTTTCCTTGGATAAGGAGAGACTACTTGATTGCTTTACACAATCCATGATATGCATATTCTCTAAGAGGGAAATAGGTGATTCCGTAAAGGCTTCCTAAGGTTTTATTTTATTTATTTTTATTTTTGAATTTTTTTTAGTTATAGATGGACACAATACCTTTATTTTATTTATTTATTTTTATGTGGYGCTAAGGATCAAACCCAGTGCCTCATATGTGCTAGGTGAACCCTCTACTAYTGAGCTACCACCCCAGCCCCTTCCTAAGGTTTTAAACTAAAGAAATAAAGCCCAGTGTGGCCCAAACCTGGTAAAATTCAAATGATAACCTCCTGTGATTCCAGATCCATATCCTGTATCCTTTCTTAAATATAAATTAGAAGGAAGAAAGAGAGAAAAACAAATCTCAACATAGCATAAGGGTTATATATCATTTCCTTTAACACTCAAAACTCTCAGGAAGAAAATTTTAAAACAAACAAGCAAAAAAACCTCAACTACCACAATCTTAGCCCAAGGATGGAAAGTCTCCAAATAGATATTAATGGAGGACTGGAGGGGTCTTCCACTTGTTACATTCTAGGGAGTCACTGATGCCGCTCCCAGGGTGCATGACCTCCCTTGCTTTCAAAGTTCAGGGGGCAAGTTTGCTTCTCTGGCATTGCCACACATTCCACCTCCAGACCAACTTGGCATGGTTAGAGTCAGTGTTCTCCATCTTCAGATGAGGAGCTCACACTTCAAGAGGCCCCAGAACTTGTATAGCATCAAACAGTGGCAAGATGGAATTTGAGCTTTGCTGAAATTCATTCTGACCTCAAAGCTCACACCCCACAACACTAAACCCTTTTTGGAGAGAGAGACTATTGCTTCCCCAAACCAAATGGATCTACTCATCTTAGAAGCCTGCACACTGAGAAAAAGTTTTATTCTGTCCATGACTTTTACAGTGCTTCAGCATGTGATTCACTGGGACAATCTACTTCTTAGACACCTGCCTCCAGCATGWGAGCAAATACTCTTGACACATCTGGGCGACTCAGTGGAATCAGCTGTGTTACATGCTCCAGATTCTCTGTTCTGTCCTCCCCACTAAGCCAAACTCACAGAATATAATTTCACAGGGGGTAACAGGCCCCTCGGGGGAGCAAGTGAGTCCCCACAGCTTTTCTCCCCACAGTCTGTCAGAGATCTTCTAGAACATTTCAGACCTAGAGCCCAGCTTTGACTAGGAAGATTCACCAGCTATTCTCAACAGAACTGCCAAAGAGTCAATGAAGTTTTCATCTTCCAAACTCTACTAAAAGGGAGCAGTTAGGAGTTCCAAGGTCATTATTTCAATTGGGTAGTTCAGGAAAGCAATGTGCATGTCTATGAAATAAAAACGTCCCATAGGCCCCGTCATCCTACTGTGTTTATAAGGTTCCACCTCAGAGTGAAGCTGTCATGAGTTTTACGACTTTATAAAATGTTTAGAAAACTGCTCCTTGAGCTGCTGCCGCTGCAACAGAGGGCGCTGGTTTTGGCTTTGAATTCTTCAGTGAGTTAGGGAAATGGCTGAACTTGTAGTACATGGCTTCTTTGACAAGACCCTGTCTCTCTGCCTCCTTATCATATTCCCATGYATGTTTCAACCACCCAAAATCTGTGGGCTCCTTTGAGGGGTGTGGTCCACAGGGATGGGAGATGATCACCTGATGTGCCAGATTCACAGAGCAAGTCCTTAATATCACACAAGTGAATCACCTGCCTTCAGAGACAGATTTCGAAGAGAGGCCTCTCCTGCAAAGAATAGAAAGATATAGAAGACCCTGATTTTGATTTAAAAGAACCCAGGGTCATCTCAGGTTGTTTGGAATCATGACCTGATTTCTTTCCCTATCCTGAAGAAAAGGAAAAGGTGGTGAAAAATAGAAACTTGGATTCTGGGGGGTGCCAGTGTTCCTTTCCTTTACACCCTCAGAAGCATCTATTTATCTATCTTATTAGCAAAGAAAAACAAAGCTTTACCGTGATCTCCAACAAAGATGACATTCACACACCGATGCAGCTTGAGCTGTTTCAGTCCATCCATTAACTGTCCCACAGTTTTGTCAATTTCCCTCAGAGGATTCGTCATCTGGAAAAAAGAGCAAGTTAGTTCTCACAGGTTTTGTTTTTGTGGTTTCGGTTTTTGACCTTTCAGTTTCCACAGATGGTCTACCCTTAGAACATTCTAGAAGGAAAACTTCAGGCCCAGTGGCAGAGCTTTGTCTAAAGGGGAGATTTTCCTGCCATTTTTAATGGAAATCTGGTCTAAGGACTTCATACTTTTTTCAAGATAATTAATAACTCTCCTCATCCAATTCTTTTCAAGATTCTTGGATATAAAAGTAGAAATATTAAATTCCTTTTAGAGAAAAGGAATTTTTTTGGAAAATTTCTTAATAACAGCATCTTTTAAGTTCAAGAGTTTTGAGAGTGAACAGAAAGTTGGATGGATGGTTTAAGCCCCTTGTCTCTGTGTAAAATCGCATTAGGCTCCAAACTTAGGCAAGAACAGAGTGCTACATGAAATGATAAGCTCCCATAGGGTAACAAATAAGAACATCACTAATGGGACCCATCACATGTCCCAAAGAAATCTATTGTCAGCTTCTAAAAGCAATAGTTAATGGAAGAAGTTTTCTAAGAATCAAGCTACTRTTCCTCCAATCAGTTCTTTTCAAGCGAGTTTTGAGCGAAATGAGAACTTACAAGATCCCTAACTGAAAAAAAAAAAAAATGAACCAGAGTTTGTTCTAGAACGTTTCTTATTTAGTCTAATACAAAAACTCACTTCTTCTCTGAAGAACATTTTCAAAGCCTAGGAAACATAATCATCTCATATTTTTCTTCAGATGCAAGTCTAACAACTCAAGCACTCCCACACACTACAGGTCTCCCTTCTCAATCTCATCTCTAACTGTGCAACGGAAAGATTCTTATATGAAACTTCACATCAGACAAACCCTTGAGAGCACTCTAGATGAAGTTTGCAGTTTAGCTGGCAATCACACACATCTACCTAAGATAACCAGGATAAGATCAGAAGAGATCTGAATATCATTATTACTCAAACACATAATGTGATCTTCCACTGGCACCTTCACAGAGGATTCAAGAACTTTCTTCCTATTGTTTCATCAGTGAAATCAGGTATAGACCTTTTTTCTTCATGGGAGGCATTAGTATTTCAAAACCTCTCCCAAGGAATAAGTTAGAACTGAAAGTTTCAGAAAGAGATGAGCAATGGAATGTGAAGGGACTAACAGATGAGGGGCTCAGCGGCACTTGCTTCTGAGAAAACCACACTCTCCTCCAAGATCCTTGTCTAGATAAAGAAATACCAAATGCATAACATATGTCAGTCCTTGGCAATGTCTTGTTTTCCTTGATTCATCAGGACAATTCAGGTAAAATCCAGAAACTACTTCTTAGTTTCTGATCTGTTCAGATAACTATAAATAAGAGATGGCCTCATAAGTATTTGAAGGTTTCAGGAAAGTAGTAACCATAGGCTCTTCTGAATGTACCAGGACAAGTAAATATTACTCACGTCATTATGAGAAAACACACGACTCTGCCCGTTGTTTTTTTCTTTCATTCTATCTCAGTTATTGCCTTGCCTGTACTCTAAGATTGTTTCTGATCTCTGAGAGTACAGACCACTAATCTAAGTCAACTTTCTATTGAATTCTAATCTACATAGTTTTTGCCAACTCCTCCTGCTACCTTGTGGGGTCATTCTCAAGAACCAAGGTCACAAWCCATTGACTAATTCTGTGCATAAGTGCAAGCAAAACCAATAGCCCTCTGGACAGTCACTCCAGCCTCAATGTTAATACCTGTTTAGGGACAATGAACTCTGAAGAAAGTCAAAGACTCCTTTTTTTTTTTCTGTCATGCAAAAGCTCAAGAAGTCTTCATATCAGTGTTCACCTTTGAAGTACCAGATTCTTCTGGACTCCAAGCCCAAGGACATGGCACCAGAGTTTTTCTAAAACTTGTATCCAGCCAATTTTCGAACTGAAGCACTGGAGGAAACCTTCAACTCAGACGTGCCCGCCACAAAGCTTTGGAACAATAGATAAACTTACTTTGTCCTGACGAGTTTCCGCTGCATAATGATCCATCCTATGTAATTTTCTTCTTCTTTTCTTTGGAGGAGCAACGGGTCTTTCCTGTCTCCTCTTAGGGGCAACTTTCCTCTTAGGTCTCTTAGCCGGAGTAAGAGATGGGCCATAACTACTCTCCTGTACTGGCGGATAGAGATGTCTGCACTCAGAGGCCGTCTGTCCCTCTGGGTCAGATGATAAAGCTCACCTTTTCCGTCTGGGGTCAGCAGAGRCTTAGAAAGACTAAGGCTGCTTAAGTGAGAACACATGGGTAGGACAGGTGATTCAAGGACCTCTCTGGAGAGAAGCCTCCTAAGCGGGTCTTGAAGCTGTTGTCTCAGCTTCTTTGCTGGGAACAAGAATGTAATTTAAGACAATCTAATCACATGGGCTTCTTTTAGCTGACAAGCTTGCTCATAGATACACCCAAAGGTGACATTAGAGAAGTCCTGTAACGCAGAACTCCTGCATTAGGGAGAGGCTGATCCTCGGTTACAAAAAGCTCTCCATTAATAAAGTACTAGTTTACCACCAGAGAGAAGACTAGTCACTTGGCCATCTCAAGATGGGAATACAATTCATAAAGGTGGTTCCAGTTCAGAAAAGCATGGGTATCTAACTGTCATGCCACTAAATTGGTCACAGCACTGTCACCTTCATTGGCAAGGATCATGGAAATTTTTTAACCCAAGGATGGAATGAAGCATGAACAACTCCTTGGTCCTGAATACATCTGACACATCGGGACTTCCAGCAGGAGAGAGAACCTCTCACTGAYGACCAAAGTTTCCGGTACAGAGGAACTTGACATAAACAGTACTGTATTTTCAGAAATGCTCTTTGAAAATTAGATAAAATGTGACAATTCATCAAGATTTCCTCATCTTGGTCTACAGAGCCAGGATGGCTCTATTTACATCTTTGCTGTCCCTTACATCCTCCCCTGATTGGGAGGGTGGCAGTGCTACAGATTTTGTTTCAAACTCCAGAGAACAAGTGAAGTCTGATACTTAAACTGAGTGAAGAAGACAACCTTTTGGGACCTCCAAATGCTGGAGAAAAATAGGCCCCTGATTTGCTGATGGTGCAAAGGTGAATTAAAGCAGCAAGCTCTGCTGTCTACGTAGCTAACTTCTCTCCTGGCAGGACTGTTCCAAGAGCCATTCAGATGCAGGAAGGGGCAGGAGGAGGAACAGTGTTAGTGTATCCAAGAAGGAGAACATCTGCCATGCGCTCTCACGGTTTCCAGGGCAAGCGACTGCAAGGGCTCTTCTGTTTCTGTCTCATCCTCTTTCTCCGGCAAAGCGATCTAAAGACACAGCCCCAGAGACTTGGATTTGGTTTGGTTTAATGCCTCTAATTTTAGGCAAATCTCCACRAGAAGAGCAAGAAAAGGAAAAGAAGGATTTTCCATTTCATGATCACCAAGTACATTCTGCTAGCACTCAAATCTGCCCATCAAACACCAGGCCACTTGCAAGAGACTTCAACATTCCAAAGACTCCCAAGGTGAGCCCTTCCGATTGCAGCAGGTTAGAGGAGCAGGAGAAGTAGGGTTTAGTCAAACTGAGTTTTCATCCAGGGATTACAGTGCATGTATTTCCTTCTTCAAATGTTAGAGGGAGATGAAAGCTAAGTTTTCAATGACCAGCCATACTGTAGCCTGAATTTAGAAGTTTTAGCCTGAGGTTATTAGGAGGATGGGAAGGAGAGGGGCAAATTTCCCTGCTTTTCAGAAGGATATGTTGCCATCTGAAGGTAGGGACTAGCCAGCCAAAGCTCTGCCTCTAGGTCTGGAGGAGCAGCCCAACGAGAGGTCACAGAAAAGGCATACAAGATTTAAGAGAAAAGGGTTGCGCCAATAATCAAAAGCAAGCTTATGTTTGAACATTCACCATTACACTATGAAACCAGGAGCAATACACCATTTCTGGATGCCATTAGCCCAGTGTTTGGTCATCTTAATACCTTTGAGAATCATCCTGAAAAGGGGTACTCAAGTATTATGTAAACAAAGCACAAACTCTAATTGAGTTCATCTTATTGTAGCATACAACATTCTGTTAGATAGAATCATTTCAATTAAATTTCAAATGCAAGTTATTTTCTCATATGTCAAGGATAGCAGGCTAATGATTTTAAAAGCAGTTTTTCAAGTGTATAGTCTTTTCATGTCCATAAAAGTATATAGGGATATCTATGTATTAATCTGCATATAGGACACATAGGCATATAAGCCAATTAGTCTATGCCCAAAGAAAGATTTTGCCCACTTGCTTTGGTTTTGTGTTTAAAACTGTAAATTGTTTTGTTTTGTCTTGTTTTTAGTTAGAATAAGATTCCTAGAACCACATAAGAAATAGTTGAAACCTGAAAATACTCCSTCCTTTTTCAGAAAAATCGACCAGGTGATCAGATTACCATTACTGAAGAGATAATCTAAATTATCCAATTAAGAGTATTTACTCAGTAGGTATATGAGAAAACACCCATCTGCAAATATTAGTACTAAAAAGAACATAACATGAATAGTTTCAACTTTTAATTCAAAAATACTTTAGGAGTAGAGATCCACTTGTATATTTATGAGCACTCCTGGACATAGAAACCATCTTTACAGCAAATTAAAGCATTCTATATCACACTTCATTCATTCGTTGCTCAGAACTTAAAATGTTTGTTTCTTAATTAAAACACAGGCACATCTACTTTCAATAGGTAATTGTAACTGAAATACATGCTAGAATTCCAAAGATGTTCATGGAAAAAGAACAGTTCTTATTAAACTACACAACCTAAAGTATAAAATGAGTGATACTTCATCTGTACTGTTAAAAGCCAGCTTCTGAATTAAAGAAAATACCCTGTGTGATTTGAACACACTTATTAACAGACCACTTTGCTGGTTCCCTGGACTGAAGGAGCATTAAATRTTTCCACGAAGCCGGGCATGGTGGCGCACTCCTGTAATCCCAGCAGCTCAGGAGGCTGAGACAGGAGGATCGCAAGTTCAAAGCCAGCCTCAGCAAAAGCAAGGCACTAAACAACTCAGTGACACCCTGTCTCTAAATAAAATACAAAATCGGGCTGGGGATATGGCTCAGTGGTTGAGTGCCCCTGAGTTCAATCCCCAGTACAAAAAAAAAAAAAAAAGTTTCCACAGGAAGGCCATGTTATGGGAGCCAGAAGTTCTGAGGATCTGTCTCCAGGTTCTCCACTTACCTGCAAAGCCAYTTGAGCAGCCCAAAGTTCTTCCAATACCAGTCTCCTACTTTTAAAAGASTAGCTATACCCAAATCTCTGTTCTACCTACCCTTGGGGTCTTTTAAGGGATAATATTCAAGCAAAGCTGAACTTTACATAGAGCACATGGAATTGCTTAGGTGTTTCGTAAGGATTTTTTTTTTTAACATTTTAACAAAATGTGGTTCCTTTTGTTCACTTTAGATTAATCTCAAAGAAACTCATCCTAAAGATAAAACAATCATTCTYTTTCTTTCCTTGCAAAATAAGATTTGTGTTTCATGTATGCAGATGTTTATCTTGTTTTATCATTTGTGTTTCATAATCATGCAAAACTGATTAAACATCAAAGGAACAGAAAAAGAACACCAGATTTATATGACTTCTGTGATTTAAGACAAAGAATGGTTTCACATAGCCGTTAGTTTCTAATGTTTAAAGAAAAAAAAAAATCACTGACCACTGAACTGATGGATGATTGAACATTCAAGCACACTTATAACTTCTTGGTATTTACTGCCTTTATTTACACAGGCTGCAATTTGTTCGAAACTACTTAAGCTAAGATACATCTATCTGTATCTCCAACTCAGCCTTATACTGAACCCAGTGAATTTAATTATAGGCAACAGTTGTCATAGGCTAGTAGAGAATTAGAGGCAGTTTCCCTCAAAGAGTTTTTAAAACAATTTTTCAGCTGAAATCAAGTTTTACTATGTTCATGCAGACATATCATCCCTGTTAGGAAAGAAATGCTAAAGACATTTAAAATATGAAAAGGTTTAGATTTGCAGACTTCGTGTTTTAAAATGATCTTTGCTGAAATATTGGGAGGATTCCACCCTGGATGAAAAAGGAACATAACAAAACACAGCTATTCCCCTTCCCCATCTTCTGAATTTGAAGTTTTACTGGCTCCTACCTTACAAACAGACTGTCTTCTAAGATGACTGAGCACTTAATAAAGGGTACCTCACAACTCTGCTGAACAGATTCATTGGGTAGCATGTTCCTCTCAATTAAGAATTAATTTAACCTTTGGGGTATGATGGATATGTATACACCCTTGAATGTGGTGATGGATTCACAGTATAAATACCAATGCCAAAATGTACCAAATAAAAAGCATCCAACACTATAAACTACCAGGATGGCTATACTTGCTAAGACTATCAGAGCTGCTTAACTGACCTACCCTCTTTGAACAGCATACTCATTTTAAAGGTGTTAAAATTCAGTTGTAATGTTGCATATTGGAGGTTTCATCCCCATATGCCTTTCCACTCCTTTCCGATGGTGGCTGGTGCCAACCCTTCCCAATTCTTCACATGGTAACTGATACCTGCAAGCTTGCAATACACCCCATTCCCATTAGCATCAAGTTTAGGATATGTTTCAATATCAAAGGAATCTGAAATGAAGTTCCTGTAAGAGAAACAAGTATATTTAAGATTTTTTAAAAATGTTTTAGTCTTGTAATTCTGAATAAACCTTGTAGATTACAAATGCTCCCAAAGACTGTACAAATCCTAAAATAAGGTCAGTAGGTCAAGTAGCCCAGGGGCACAGATTCCCCTCAAGCAGATGATAAACTACTAACCTCAGGGCCAAAAGGGCCGTATTTGTGTCCAGAGAAATCAGGTTGTTCAGAGTAGAAGGCATAGACGGAAGGCCTACGAGAAGATTGGAACGTTTATAATTTGCCCAAACCACACACAACAAAGAATATCAAATATCCCCTACTCACTTTAAAAAATAAAAATCCTTCAAGTTTCGTTAATCTCTCAACCACTGTCAGTATTACCATGGAAAAACTTTTTTTTTCCCTAATGCTCCAACACCCACCATCCCACTACACCACCCTCACTGTGGTAACTGCCTGGTACCACTTTCAGAAATTAAAAGTCACAAAGGAAACTCTGAGCATGTACTCAGAGTCTCAAGATAATAGAGCCCAGTGGTAATTCACATGGGCCATGAAATCTGCAGCCAAAAAGATTTACCCCTGTTCAAGTGCAAAGTTGGTCTTAATGCTTCTCGGTCTTTGAGAAGCTGATAGTTCATTTATCAAAGCCAGAAACTCCCTTCGGCTCTGCTGTAGTGGCCAGGATTAAGAGCTGGAGTAATCCATGTAATTAAATGGTCCCCAATCACCAAATCCTTCTTAGGGAAATAACGCTTAAGGCTAATAACCACAAAACTTTTAATAATACCAATCTTTGGCTGCACTTCTATTTCACAGTCCATCTAGTATTTCACCCAAGTCTAACCAAAGATGGAAATGTACTGAAGAAAGAAGAGAGAAGGACAGAGGAAAGCAAATACCTCTCRTCATCTGGCAGGGTGAGCCACTGCAGGATGGTCAATATTCTCCGCTCATGGGGGATGGCCCTGTAGGGGATAACCAGCAAAACATGTTGGTAGGTGTCTTTCCACAGACTCAAGTCTGTGAGTCCTGGCTCTTGCACCCAGGCCAAATGCTCTCTATTTGCCACCATCTGTTTTCACTTCGTTGTAGTAAAAAGGCCCTCTTTGGAATTAGCATTTAAACTTCCATTTCCATTTGTAACATATTACATTGCTCAACCTCTTCCACAGAAGACTAGACTGGAAATTCTGATTCATGGTCACAATGAGGAACCTGTCTTGCTGATGAAAAACTCGGCTACAAGTAGAAAAGACCATGGCTTCAGAATCATTGTTGTTCAGTGGGTTTGGCATCAGCAGTGTCCGAGGAGGGAACAGGACTTCCATGCGCACTTTGCCTCTTTCCAGCAGGATGACCTCTGCTGTCCTCTGTGCCACTTGACCTCTCTCAGCCTCAGTTAACTCATCAGTAAAACAAAGATAACAGCAAAGCACACCACACAGCTTGTTTCTATGAATGAATTGATACGAGGCAACTAAAAGACACAGGGTCCCTGGTACACAGTTAAGTGCTAAAATCATTCTTTTATTGATGATCATAATTAGTCATCATTCTACCTCTAAATAGTTAATAACTTTAAAAACATTATCTAACCTGAAACTTTAAATTCCTCCTGTATAAAATAATGGGTTAGGGAAGGTATTCTTGAAATTCTCTTCCATCTCTATAAAAATCTATCAGGAATAGGCACATATAATTATGAGACTGACAAAAAGGGTATAATCTTCATCCACAATGACTTTTGTGTTTAAGTCTCATTCCTCTGTTGAAATATAATTAACCTAAGCCTGGCACCAACTTGAAGAGCTCTTGGCTACCATGATAGCACTGCATCTTGAGCCGAGTTCCATTAGGATATTCATGTCTGAGCCATCCCCTTGGCTTGTGGGGAAATTTGCTTACTTTCTTAACCTGGAGCACAAAATGCTTTTCACTCCCCTACCAAGACCAGGCATTCGAAGCATGTTCATGATGAATTTAGATGAAAACTAAAGTTTGATTGTGGTAAGGAAAAATCGTTATGGAACCTTGGGTGAACCATTGAAACTTCACTCCTGGTGGACATGAGCAAGAAAGCTAGGAGAAAGAAAGCTCTTCAGAGCCATGGTGGAAGGCAGAGTTGGCAGAGGCTGTGGGCAGCAGCCGCTCCCTGTCCCCACAATCACTACACTCCCCCACCGGCTCCACCCATCTCTCCTCTGGGCATTTGTCATTCTTCTGGCATCCTCTCTGTCTAGAGCTATCATACACACCAGAAAATCATGTTTATCATAAAATGAATCCTGCTTTAAATATATCACAGTGCTGTTCAATAAATGCGACCCTGTTTATTATATCTTATAATTGAATTAGAAATAGGCAGAGCAAAGCCAGGTTAATCACTTAAGGAATTTAATTCTTCAGCTTTAGAAATCCTTTTTATCTGAACAAAATAATTATGATTACATATTTTGAATTCTTTCCTAACTTAAAAAGAAAAAAGCCAGTGTCATAGCWTTTTCATTTTTCCTGATTTCACTTTCTACCTAAAAGCTGCTTTATTTTATGTGATTGGTGTTAAGCCACAAATATGGACTCCGATGAACCCACTTCCAATGCTAATGGAAAAATACCAGCTCAACAGAAATTTTTTTTGTCAAGCTCAGAATGCTTACCCTATAACCCTTGTTGGACAGGGTACTTGAACAACAATAGACTGAGAATTAAAAACACCAGCTCAGAAGCCAAAGTGTGTGARTTTAAATCCTGACTCCTACAAGTCAAGATGTCGGTGGGTTACCTAACCTTTGGGTGCCTCTGTAAAATGATAGTAGCAGTACCTACTCATGAGGGTGTTGTAAAGAATCAAAGACAAGAAAAGTGCTTAAAATGATGTCTGGAGCATAGAAAGTGTTTAGAGAAATGTTAGCTTTTATCATTACATACTGGTTTTATAGGTCCACAGAGATGATACATTCATCTGTGAAATGTTTGTTAAAGGCATATTATGGCCCAGGCGTGTGTGTAAACATAATAAAGATATAGACACTCCCACAAAAATCCTATTATGGAGGTGTCATTGTCCTCTTCTTGGGGAAAATAAGCTGGTAGTTATCAACTCTGTGTGTGTGTGTGTGTGTGTGTGTGTGTGTGTGTGTGTGTGTTAGGAGCATTCGATGAAAACTCTGGAGGTCTGAGTATCCACCCCAGGTATGACTTTGGGGATAACATTTAACCACTTCAGGCTTTACTTAGTATTCTAACCTCTTAAATGAATTGGACAAAGTGGCTTCCCATGAGTTTTAGATGATCACTTTGAAATAACCTCACAGACCAAAGAGACATGATCCTTAGCCATTAACTATGTTTCAAATACAATACAAGAGGCAGCAAATAAATTAGACCAAAGGAAGCAAAAAAAACAAGCAGAAAGCAAAACAGGGTACATATCCCTGTCTTCACATCCCTGATAGATTCAGAATGTGTTGTGAAACCAAGTGGATGAGACATGATCAGAAAAGGGAGAAAAATGGAAATGGAGCATTGGAGGACTAGAAGAAGTATTTAGGGGTAAAGGGAAACAAAATACCTCAGGATATGTAGAGACATTGTCTGGTCAATGTTGAAAGAGATAATGCAAATAAGTAAACAAATACTGCTTATTGTTTGTTCTCTCTATACTTTAAATATATTGATTCATTTTATCTTCATAATATCCTGTGATGAAAGTACTACAACACCCATTTAAAGATGAGAACATTGAGAAAAAAAAAAAAAAGATGAGAACATTGATTAGTTAAGAGATTAACAACAAATGGTCCAAAGTCAGCAATCTCAGTAAGTAACAGAGCTGGGATTAGACCCAATCTACACACACATACATAATGGGAATTACTCCCTTTAAATATGAATTGACATAAAAGAATATGATGGAACTTCTACTGAGGATGATTTTGGAATGAAATATTATCATTTAAAAAGCAAGGAGTTCATAACTCACCTGAATCAAACCGTGTAATATGATGTATTAAGAACTATGTAATGTTATGAACGACCAATAATAATAAAAAAAAATAAAATAAAATAAAATGAGGAAGTAAGCCAAAAAAAAAAAGCAAGAATATACTTCTAGCCTGCAGTAGAGAAACATATTAAAAAGATGGCCTCAAAGTCTAAGCCTGTGGTTTGAATCTAGTTTTAAATTTTAAATTTTGCAGAATGTACTTTGTGTAGATTTCCTTGACCTGTGTTTCCTTAAATAATTGGAAGTATGATCAGATTTTTTTAAGGTTATAAAAAACTTCAAAAATGAGGAGAAAAAAAAGTAAATCCAAGTCACTTCCAGGATACAGAGATAAAAGAATTGTCTGGGAGGCAAAGCAAAACTACAGATGTCTTTCAAAGAAGCACACAACAGCCACCTTCTCATGAGTGGTTTCAAATGGGTGGAGAAAATTGCCATTCAAAACCAGAACACTGGGCCTTTTCAAGGAAGCTGTGTAACACTTCCAGGGGGACAGGGTRGGACCAAGTATTAATTATGTTATTGGCTCCCCCTCCATTCTGACAGGCCAATGAGTTAAAGAGCAAAAGAAACCACTTCTATAGAATCAGTGACAGTCAAGGGTTAAAAAGATAATGTAATGTGTATGATTAAATTGGTAAATCAACATCCCACTTACATTCAGCAATGTCTTTTCTAACATATCCATGCTTATTTCTCAACTCAGAAACCTCTTTAAAAAAAAAAAAAACTTTTAAAGAGACACTCTGTCTTAGCTTTAAATCACCCAACTCAATTTCAATTTAGCCCTTCAAATCTGAAAAAGCTACTTTTATTCCTGAACTTGGAGAATATATATGGTACCATTCTGGATTAATATGAACCTGTGATTGCTCTTAGCACACTACTATTATAGAATAGTCAGATTTTTGTTAAAGTATAAGAGGCAAATACGGAAACAGCTTTAGGTGGTTAAAAAAAAAAAAAAAAAAAGATGGAAAGAACATCTCAGTGGGAACAAAATCCCCATGAAAGTTGAAACAGATTTCTCTTTTTACTAAGGAGCCTTTGAAAATAATCAACATGTTGACAATTTTATTAGGTAAGTTTCATCTTAAGGCTTACAAACTTCAACTACTAATCCCATCACCTCTGCAGGGATGAGAAGCACTTTCTTATTAGGGAAATCTTGGAGTTCAGTGGAAAAGTGGGGTGAAACAAAGGGTTCCCCTATCTCTTGTTTGGAATCCCCAATCTCTAGATCACTCCATCGACTCCCCAGCTGTCTGAGACCACACCAGAGTTTTAAAGTTGTGAACCAAAATAAATATAGCACGTTGAAATATGTTTATAGAAAATGATAGTGCAGACCACAGCAATAAATATTCTAAGAGAAATATACATTCCCTAGGTGGYAAGTTACCAAAAACCTCTAAAGAGGGGTAGAAAGAGCAAAATGGATGGCTAGAAGAAGAGAAAATCTTCCCTCCTTCAATGATAGGGAAAAGGAGGAATACGGAAGAGAGGTGAGAGAAGGAGGAGAGAAGAGGAACAAAAAAAGGACCTCAGGAAAAGGTATTGAGGTATATTTCTAGGTATCAACAAATATGTAAAATTTTGACATTTTTACATTTTATGGAAATAAAAATCAAGACTAAATTAATGTTTCATAAACTAAATCATAACTATAATTTTATAAACATTGACAAAATAAAGGTAACTTACACAGACCAAAAGAATGTTCCAGCTTTCACCCCTTGCTTGGTGGCTGTAATCCATAGCTAATGAGGAAAATATAAGAGGCTTATAATATGATCTGGGTTTTGGTTAAAGAAAAACACTTTTTAAATATATTAGATCTGATATCTTATACTCTACTCACACCCCACCATAAATTTCACATTATTTGCAACCATTTTTTTTTTCACATCTGGAAGTCAGAACCATTATTTCCATAAATGTTATTCAATACATTCTCTGCGAAAACTCTCAAAAGCTCTGCTATGATTCTAGTGACATTTTTTTAAACTTTTATTTCAACTCAAAAGTCTCTCTCTTCTGTACCTGTCTTTTCCAATAACTGTTTTTGAATATTTCTCTCATACATCTGAATTCTGCTCATCAAAGGACTCAGGAGTGAACCATATGTTTCCTTTACTATTGAAATCCTTACAGAGGAGAGCCCCAATTTGGCACCCAGATGTCAGAATCTTGGAACCTAGTTGGTCTTGTTTGACTTTAAAGTGGATGAAATAGAAGGGGAAGAAAGGCTAATTTTTAATTTGGATTTTTCTTATATATCTTTTCCCTAGCCTTTTAATAAACRGGGATTTAAGGAGAAGTTCCTAGGATACGTTAGATGAACTAAACCTTTCATTAAGGCTTTGAAAATATTTATAACTCGTGCTGCTGAGAGGCAAAAGATGGAGTTCAGAACTCAGGCTCTGCAATYAGATAGCCAAGATTTTAAACCTGGCTTCTGTGACTAGCGGACCACATGGCCCTCCAGCAAGTCACTTGACCTCTCTGTGCCTCGGTTTCCTCCACAGTGGAGGTGATGTTTTCTTGCACACAGGATTACTCTCCACTTTAAAGAATTAATACATTCAAAGCCCTTCAACTGGTGTTTCAGCATTTGGTAAGCACTTGATCAATTTCGGTCTTTATTATTATGCAATCATGGAAATAAGTGGAATCCAATTATTTCCAGGAACATTAAAAACAGCTTAGGATGGCGAGTGTCCCAATGAACAGAAGTCCGTGAGGAAAGAAAAAAAGAAAACAAAAAGCCCTCACTGAGAGGAAAAGAGTGGAGGCAAATAAGGGAGAAAACTAGTTTGTTATGAGACTAAAGCAAAAATGATGTGGGAATTACAGCCAGTCCATTTTCTGGTTTCATGGCATGCAGACTTTGAGAGGATCTTAGGATACCAATAAAAACCTCCCCCGCCCCATTGTGGAAATATGCGACTGGAAGGCGTAGAACCTTCAGGAGCTAGGAGCTTGGCCACAGTTTCAAAAGGGTATGAGATACTTGAAGAGTTCCACAAGAGCTGCAAACACATTGTTAGGGACATCTAGAAATCCCTATCACAACTAGTGCAACCGGCAAGGGAGACCTGGGGTGGGAGAGCATGTCTAGATCCACAGAGCTCTGAGTAGCTAGTGGATTTTATCTGCAGGGGAGAGGTGGGATCCTCAACCCATTCCCATAGTTCCTGGTTGGCAGGGACCTCTGGTTCTTTGAAATGGTTAAGAGATAGGGGTCTGAGTGCCCACTTCTCCATTTGATCCAAATCATCCTTCCACTTTCTGAACCAGCTCTGACATGGCCCAACCAGGGTTCTAAATGTATCCTGGACTTTCAATCATTCTTGCCCCAACACCTCTACAAACAAGAAGATGACTTCTAAGTGCTGGTCACCCTGTAGCTGCCTCAAAATTGCGCTAAGTTCTCAGGAAGTCCAGTTTCTTATATTATAGGACCACTTTCATATACTTACATTAATTTCACTGACACAAGCTTAGGATATTTATAGCCAAACCACTTTCTAGAAAATCTAGTGCCTTGCTAATTSCAAAGAAATTATACCAGGCAATTTTTGACATATATGAAATATAAGATCCATCTAGGGTTTCCTAAAGGAAAAAAATATGTTTAATACAGATTTATCAAAGATGACCAAGGCTTTTCAAAATAATATTGTAGGATACATACAGATACTGGCAATATCTGGGCAACAGTAAACCCTAGGAATAACTTAGCTCAGGTGTTCTCAGGACAAAAAGACCACCAGAGGGGTCTTTGCAGTGTTCAAAATATGCACATGCATGTGAAGATGGCAGAATAAGTGTGCTAAAATCATTGTGATGGCCCTCACCACATACCACTGAGAAAGAAGCCATCTGTCTTCACAAACTACACTTTCATAATACCACCTACCTCCTAGTACTCCCATCTAAGAATACTCCTGAATGAATTGTCAAGCCCACTAATTAATAATATTAGAGATTTTACAAGAAATTATTTATGCTAATAAAAAGTATTCTAATGGCRAAAATCAGAATCACTTATTCTCTACACTTTTATGTACTTTGCAAAAATTTTACTGACAACATATTTATAATCAGGATTATAAAATATGAATTATCATGATAATATAAGGTCAAGAATTGTYTTTCTTCTGAGAATGGTGATGTATAACTATAATCCCAGTGACTCAGRAGGCTGAGGCAGGAAGATTGCAAGTTCAAAGCCAGCCTCAGCTACTTAGTGAGGCCCTAAGCAGCTTAGCAAGATGCTGTCTAAAAACAAAAATAAAAATGGCTGGGGATGTAGCTAAGTGGTAAAGCACTCCTGGGTTCAACCCCCAGTAGCCACCCACTACCAAAAAACATTGTCTTTCTTCTGAAAAAAAGAAACAGAAAAATTCTCCCTGTTTCTTGTTGATGTCACGTTGACAATATTTTCTAACAGAAAATTGAAGGCATGGTCAGAAGAGGACAAAAGCCAACAAATAAGAGAGAATACTTGAAATTTAAAAATATATTTTAAAACCTCAAATAAAAGAATCCCAGCCCTGATAAACATGATCTGTCAAGATTTAGCAATTGATGCAAGGCTGAAATCTAAAGGAAGTTCTTAAGTCATATCATGAGTCTCTGTTGAAGTTCCTCTGCAGGCCAAGTGTGAGTGTATACAGACACAAGCTGTATAAAAATATACAGAAAAAAATATAGGTCTATAGTAGAATGTGGAAAAGAAACAAGAAAATTTTAACAAGGAAAATATATTTTATATATATATATATATATATATATATATATATATATATATATATATTCCATTTCAGGGCTCAGAAGTTAAATCTAGTAATTACCATGGGAAAAAGGTATTAAAATGTTGGTACAAAAGAAGAAAAGTAAAAACAACACTCCAGGGCTATCAAAAAAGAGAAGCTTCCTTATTAATTCAGAGAAATAGAAGTCAAAATTTCTCTGAACTTGAATGCAAATATAAATTCCTTCAGAAGTTGTTTTTTTAAAAAAAATCAGCTAAAAACATAATCTAAGAAGGCACTGGGTGCAGGGTTCCTGCCTTTAATCCCAATACTTCTTTCATTGCTCATTTTTTATCTGTAGTATTTGTGTCCTAGACGCTTTACTTTGAAAAGGGGACAAATGGGAATAATACCATATCTTCTTGCTATGTTATCAGGAATAAATAAAGCTTACCCACTGGAACTGAGGATGTGGGCTAAATATAAAATTCAACACTTTTTCTAATTAAGTAAAGTATGCARTTATGGGAGGAGAAGTTTTGAAAAAGATAAGAACCAAAAAAATAATAATTTTTAAAAGCACAGACTTCTATTGTGGTCTTTTAGCAATGCAAGGAAAGTTTCCTTTGCATTCAAAATCACAGAGCTAGAGTAACTAGAATTCTGAGAGATCAAAGGAGTGGATAGGGCTCTAGCATCAGAAAAATAGATAAGATTATTGAGAATCAGAACAAACTAAGGATGTAAGGGTCAGGGGTGCAGCAGAATAGACAATGGACCAGTGTGCTGCTCAGAAGGAAGTGCAGAACAGATCAATCCAAAATCCAGCAGTAGAGCTCCTCAATACACCGGGCTCTGGATGAGGTCTTCAAACTAGAAAGAAAATAAACCAGGCTCTATCCCCATGGAATCCACAGTCTAAAACACATGTAGAATTAGCCAATTTCAAAAGGAGGTGGTCAAATTTATGATAGGAAAAAAATATATAAAAGCCTCAAGGAGRATCAAGTCACTTGGCCAGGGCTGAGGGAACTCAGGGAAGGCTCCTAGGAACAGATACTACAACTGAAAGTKTTAAGTAAATTAAGAGGTCGCTCGACAAAGGAACCAATCCCAACAAAATTACCTTAAGCTGAGTAAGTGAGCAAAGCTCATCCTAACTAAATACCTGCCTGGGCTGCAGCTCAGTGGTAGAGCACGCTTAGCAAACACAGGGAAACAACAGCCATCAAAAAAAAAAAAAAATATATATATATATATATATATATATATATATATATATATATAGAGAGAGAGAGAGAGAGAGAGAGAGAGAGAGAGAGAGAGAAAGTATAGGTCTGTAGTAGAATGTGAAAAAGAAACAAGAAAATTTTAACAAGGTAACATTTTTCTGAGCAGAATGTAAATCTTCCTCTACCCAGATAACCTGGAAGAACTGAGCACCACTGCCTCCTTCCATCAACCAACCCCTCTGGCCTGGAAATGCGCACCTGTTCTTTCATTCTTCTCTTTGCTGTCTTTTTCTAGAACATGCAACCCTTCTTCATTGCCCCAACAATGCGGGGAAAAAGCAGTTTCTAGGCCAAGCAACTTAAAAAGTATTAAGAATACACCTGCTCCTCTTAAAACACCTAGAAAATCAAGACTTTGGAGGACTCAGATCATGAGTCCTCCACATTTAGTTTCTCACAACTCCACATTAAGTCAGGCCCATGGAGTCCCCTTCATTCTCCACGTGGCTGAAGGTCCAGATTTGGACTGAGCTGGGAACTATYCCACCAAGTTATCATTATTCAGAAATTACAGGAGAGAGAATTTTCAAAGAAACAAACACAATCAATGAGCTCTATTAAGTGAGAAATGTATGTTGATGCAGCAAATGACAACTCCTAATTGTGCATTCTGAAGATTAGCAAGTTAAAAGCAGACCAGACTTTGCTAAAGTAGCTATAACAGAGGTTTTTGTTTTGGGTTGTTTTTTTTTTAAAGATGAAATTAAATCATACAAATTATTTTTGGAAGAAAAATAATGAGTAGATTCAAAATCTCAGATGGACACTGTATAAATGCCTCATCTCATCTTCTGGGTTTTAAACAAGGATGTCACTCTTATTCACCATTTAATCTGGTCCCTTTATTATGAAGCCAACTATCTTACATGGTTTCATCATTCAGTAATAGTAAATTTAATTTAATTTAATTACCATTTCTAAATTTTGATGAATATTTTCTATACTCCAATTATTTTTTCACTGGTAATTCTGTGAAAGGTACAAGCATCTGAGAGGTTTATATAAATGCTTGTGGAGGAATAGTTATTCTTTCTTATAGGACTCATAGTTTCATGTAGTCATATACTTAGGCTGAAATCTCTTATAGTTCCTGTCTATACACTCCACAATAGATCAAATTTCAAGACAACAATGTGTTGTTAAATTATAACTATGATGGTCCTTAGAATTCCTGTGTTGCCCATCTTGCACAAGACGGTAGATGGAAACACAGATTGGTTTCACTGTAGCTCTCAGTCAGTCTTAGACCGAGAGTTTGAGAGTTAGGGGGGAAATGAGCAGCTAGTGCTGAGAGAGAGACTACTCCTGGGGAGAGGTTAACGGCTTCCCCTGACCTGTGTCTGCACCAGTTAACTGGACTCTTCTGCTTCTGAGTCATGGCTAACCCCAAGGAAACCTAGTGTCAACACCAAGTGTAAGGTGATCCAATTAGATAAAATTACTWTTCACATCCTTTGTTATCACTCAGACAAGTTGACTTCCATGATAAAATTATTACAAGAGACCAACTAGCAACAGGTAAAGAGAACTCTAATTTCCATCATTCAATTTACTCATAAACTATTGCTCTGTCATAAACTGTGGAATCCATTCTGTCAACAGATGTCATTAGATCACAATATGGGTCAAAACAGACTTCTGGGAGTCCAACCCCAATAAAGAGCAAGATCAGAACTTCTATTATTTCCTGCAGATAGAGAAGAAGTCTTTCAATATTAATTTAAAGCACAAAAAGTCCACATTTGTTCTTACATAGTATATATCTATTTAACAACGTGATGTTTTGATCACAGATGACTTTTTTTCAAATGACTACCTCCAGAACACAATTTCTGTTTATGTTCCATATTCTGCCAGTGGATCACAGCAAGCTCTCCAGGTTCAGTCCTCAGGGCATTGTGGACACACAGGATGAGTGCAGACCCCATCCACCCCTCATGCCTYAATAGACTGCACGAAATCTCCCAGACTCTTCCCTGGCTAGTGTTCCAGGGAGCCACTACCCCAAATGGGAGTCGGCATGAGATGGAGCCATTCTCTGCCTGTCCTTGACACATCTCTGTTTGTGTACAATGCCCATGCTTAGGTGGTGATTCCAATCCTTTTGACCAGGTACACCAGAGCCCAGTTCTGCACGTTCCACAACCATGGCTTTATGTTGCTGCTTTGCCTGTGTCTGAGCAAACAACTTGCCCATCATATGCACTGTCACAGGGAAAACATTAGGTCAAAGCACCAACAGCCCATTTCATTTTTTGCTCAGCCACATAATCTGAACAAGGGAAATTCTTCCAACATTTTAATTTGTTGTCTTAGTAAAAGATAGGATTCCACTTATACTCTTTCACTTCCATGATTTAAAAAATAGATTAAATAAAAGAATGCATGAATTTACAATGGGCTTCAGTGAATTCCTTTTTTTTTTCCATCAACTTTCCCTGATTCTGTTTACTATGGAACTRGATTTAAAATAACAGGGAAGTCATAACCATTCATTTTTCTTTCCCATTGTAGCTCCAAATCTGGTAAATCATTAAGATCTGACTATTCAGTCCTTCTTCAAAATGCTTCTTAAATTCAACTCATGGCACCGTTTCCATTATTATCCTTCATCATTCACACTTTTAGAATCATAACTTCACAYATACACATATAAATGCACATACACATGTATATATAGAAATGAATGTATATTATATTCCAGATGTATATGCATATATACATATATAAATATATGATCTATACATACATGTATATACATTATACATAATATCAAAAAACAAACATTGACAAGTATGAGGACATATCTTTTTCTCAGGCAACAAATTTAGGGATGAAATAATTCCAAGTGCACACACCAAAAAACAAAATGCAAAACTTACTGGTTGACCTCCCCACCATCTATGATTAAATTTCTCTCGCCCTCGAAGATGGAAGGTGGCATCAAAYACAGGATCATACATTGAATTGCCAACAATTCCATGAGATTCTGGATACAGACCCTTTGTATAAAAGCAAACTTATTGTTAAAATAATAATACAATAATCTACATATATGAGTTCTATTATGAGTTTTCTTAACACAGAAGGTTTTATAACAATATTTAATTTCCAAAATCATATAAGATACACATAGCCTTTACTGTGTGTCTGCCTGAGCAAACATGTATCAAGGCTAATTATTAGCCATTTGAGAAACAACATGACTACAAGAATTTTAATATCTAGTTTTTTAACTATTAGAACCTGATATAGTTTTTATTACTTTATTTGAAATTTACACATGTGCCTCCAAAGAATTTGAATTTCTAAATATTCTTTTCTATTTTTCTTAGTTCTATTTCCCCCCCCAGTCAACAATAAAAAAAAGTAATAACAAAATAATAAGTAAATTGTGTATTTAAAAAAAGATAGAATTTGGAGTATCTGAAAATTAAAACATCTGAAATCAAGATTTTTATTTTCAAATCCAAAAAATAAATGATCAACTCTCAGGTATTTGAGGGAAATTTAATGCTTGTGTTCAGATTGAACTGCRCCTGAAGAAAGACTTTAGTTTTAAAGTTGCAATGAAGCTCAGGCCTCTACCAAGTTGTAAAAGGCATTTGCTGTGAATTACTGAGGCCGATAAGATGGAAAACAGAGAGGCTGTCTTTGAACACTAAGGAACATGTTTGAAAAAATCTCCCCTTGAAGTCATTCCAGGATTAAATCAGACCTTTGAATACGTATCATTCGAGAAAACACTTACGGTGGCCAAAGTGTATAAGTTAGGAAAGGTTTTTGTTGGGTACACAGGCCTCATGTAGGGAGAATGTGTCCCACAGGACCCTAGAAAGAGAATTTCAGATATTAGGATAACAGAACCAACAGGAATCACTTCATATAAAATTCACTTTACAAACAAGACACGTGGTGTTACTTTCAATTTTCTTATTTCAGATAATAAAATACATTTAAAAACAATGTGTCCATAGACTTCAAACCCCATAGCAGAACTGTACTGCAGAAATCCTGGCTTACAGATGAGACCAGGCAGTCAGGAAATCACTTACTTAGTTTTTCAATGTTAGGCATGACCTTGCTCCCTTTCTTCATGTAGGATGCCCGGAAGCCATCCACAGAGAAAATGATTAATGGAGGACGAACAAACCTTAAACAGAAATATGTTAAAGCTTAGAAAAATTATTGCCACCAGGCATTGTATCTACTCATTTTCAGTAACTGGGACCCATAACTTCCATGAAGAATCTGTACAGAGGATATCTGGATGAATCTGAGCTTCCAGCCACATAACATTTGAGGTCACTAAAGTCCAGGGTCAAATGACCAGCCTCACAAGGACCAACGGAAGGGACTTCACACCCAATTTCCCTTGATGTACTTCCTCCACTGCTCCTTCTCCCTTACAAACAGGGTTATTAATAACATAAAAATACAATTACATACTGTACATTATGAATAAAAATGCAGTTATATTTGCCTCAGATAAGTAGTCTCCCATTTGCCACGTGGAAAACTCCTATTCATTCTTTAAAACCCAGCTCAAAATTTCCTCTTTGATAAGGTTAGTTGTTCACACTTCTGAGTTCCTTTAAGATYATTCATTCCTACCTGTTTCATCATTCATATATACATTATTGTACCTGATATTGCAATGATCTGTTAATATATTTCTCTTCCTTGCTAGTTCCAAAGCACAGCTGAATCTTATTCATCTTCTTATTTTGTGGGCCCAAAGCAAATATTTATTAAATACATTAATGAACAAGTGTAAAATCAACAGGAGAAGCACTTGTACTATTACATCTAAGCGCTTATAAAAATTCCTTTAAGTTATAATTTCAAAAATAGTTTAAATTATGAAAACCTGTAAAAGGTATCTCAGTAAAGGACTAGACTATTCATCTACCTGGGCTGTATCTTATGAAATGGCTCTTTATCAGACTTGAGAATACTCAAATATGTGCAGAATTACTGCTAATAGTTTGAAACTAGTGAGCAAGCATAAGTTTATGTTTACTTGAAACCACATCATAAAGAGGACATAGTTCAAATGAGTCACATAGAAAGCACTTAGAATAATGCTACATAAACAGGGTTCCCTGTTATCACTACTCTTATCAGTTGCTTCTACTCTTTCTTCAAAAATAAGCAAACACATTTTAAACAGTCCAGGAACTGTTGCCATGCACTCTACAAACCCAAAGAAGTTCAAACATCTCACTAAGGTTAAGAAGGAGAAAAAATTAAAAACATCTCATTTAAATTCTGTGTCCCAGGCTATGCCACCCCAAATAAAAATACCTTTAAAAACCAAATGCATTTTAGTGCTTTTGCTGGAAGTGTATTTTCTGCTGAGCATGTAGAAGGTGTGTGAAGCCTCCACAGTTTACTGGAAGGTGCCGGAGGAAGGGCATACTTGAGCTGGGGGGTCACCCAGGATGGCTGTGCCCCAGCAAGACCTCACTGCTGTGGCTCATCSAATCCCTGTATCATCCGCTAGGACAACTTCCCGGGTGATCCTTTTAGAGGTTGTACATTTTCCCTCTTCCTGCCCCCTCCCTGCCCCCAGGAAAGGGCAAAACCAGAACTCAAGGAGAGAATATGAAAAAAATAAAAAATAAAATATATATATGTGTGTGTATATATTATATATGTATGTATATGTATATATACAKGTGTGTGTGTGTGTGTGTGTGTGTGTGTRTRTRTATATATATATATATATATATATATATATATATATMTRYMTRWCWKSYTKMCWTSTTYMSTKCTTCAGTGATAGTCAGGTGACTTTGTCAAACTTTCAGCTGAGGGGAACATAGGAGATGGTCGGACTCCACGCAAGTGACAAGAAATCTGTCAAAACTTTAAGATAGCTTTTGACGGGTAGATTACTTGTAAGTACTCACCAGTTTGTAAAGAAGGATTTCAGTTTTACATTGTTTATATCCAGTAACCATTTATTCTCTGTGACATTTTACTAATAATACGTACAATTTTATAATATTCATTAAAATACACTTACCCTGCAGGACACTCTGGGGCCTTTATTTCTTCACAGTCATCATCTACCCAATGTGATTCTCCTAGAAGGAAAAGCGTTGTCTGTTTATCGTGGAGTCTAATTACGCRTGACACCCAGAGCCTTGAAGCACATAATCCCAGGATCTGTGTCCTGTTGGACACTTGCTAATGGAATACCATCTAAAATGAAATTCTGAAATAAAGTGTAGTGTCTGGTTTGGCTTTCAAAGTACACCCATACATGGTGGGAAAGCTAAGATTTAATAACCTCAAGTGGTGTTTATTTGAGCCTTGAGAGTCTAAATGGTTTGTAGATTAAAAAAAACAGTGGCGTCAGTGAACAAAATTTCATGTTTGTATCCCTCCAGAAATAAACTGTTTGGTCATTAGATGGAACATTCTTTTCTCTACCACTGAAGATCTCAAAGCCATAAAAACCATGACATATTTCCCTTAAAATGGGGAAAAAGGCTTAGAATATACAGGGGTGATAAATGGGAGATGACAATATGGAGATTATTTGCCAATGGATCTGTATATGGCCTTGATTTTTAGAAATGCAAACCAACTTCACTCCTATCTTGCACCAGGATCTGACAGCATAGACCYAAGTCTTTCCTGAGTTATTGCCATCAAAATAGAGAACAGAAAAGTGTTCATATTGAAAAACAAAAAAAACGCTGTTGGTCCCCAGCGGTTTGTGTGGTTTGATCTTTAGAGGGGCAGTGTTGAAGTGGTATAACCTTTCAAATGTGGGATCTAGTGGAAAGTAATTAGGTCATGGGAGCACCATCCTCAGAAGAGAGTACTGCAGGTCTCTTAGGACTGGGTTAGTTCCCAAAAGAATGGGTTATCATAAGAAGCCTGGTAGCTCTCTTAAATCCCTCTATTACACATGTATCTACCACTATAATATGATCTATTCTCCATGATGTGACATAGCTAGAAAGACCCCACCAGAGACTGCCCAATCTTGAACTTTCARCCTCCAAAATTGTGAGCTAAATAAACTTCTTCTCCATATAAAGTTTCCAGCCTCAAGTAGTTTGCTATAGTAACACACTCACACACCAAAGGGAGGGGCGGAGATTGTAAAAGCTTTCTTTGGAGAAAATGAAATTTAAAAAAAAATAATAATTTGCCTTAAATTGTTCTAAGACAAACAAAAATTGCATGCCTTAAATTTTGCAACCACTAATATGGAAAAATTTCTCCTATTTAAAGAGCATTGGAAATCTCTGTTAGTCAATAAGAATCTAACTACTGAACTACTGGGTAAGTACTATGCTCCTTAAAATGGGAGCTCTAAACATGTAGTAAGCCAGGGCATCCATGTGGGCTTCATAAAAGTACTAAAAATAGAATATTAAACCAGAAAAAGCAGCTTTAATATTTAATAATTCAATGAGCAATGATACCTCAGACTTTTTTAATCTTCATTTTTTTTTCTAAAAGCCTTTGTGGCTGATACACTTACTGCATAGGAAATTTTTWAAATTTCCCTTTTAAGGAAAGGGCTATAAGTTCTTAGTTCATCTAATAATTAAAAATAAAAGCATAATTCTTAAGTTAGTAGAAATTCATAATACAATAATTGCTTGGGTATGAGAAATTTGCCACATTCACTAATATAATACAATTTTCTCACAACTATACACCTAACACACATTTTAGAACTGAATTGCTCTTTCCCTGAAAACTTTTAACAGAAACTCTTCATAAATGTTCCATGTAGGGCTGGGGATGTGGCTCAAGCGGTAGCGCGCTCGCCTGGCATGCGTGCGACCAGGGTTCGATCCTCAGCACCACATACCAACAAAGATGTTGTGTCTGCCGAGAACTAAAAAATAAATATTAAAAAAAAAAATTCTCTCTCTCTCTCTCTCCCCCCCCCCTCACTCTCTCTTTAAAAAAAAAAAAATGTTCCATGTATGACACAGGGGAAAGGATTTGTTTAGAAACTAAAAAGTGACTTAAAAAGTATAGATAAAGACTCTTGGGTCTTTCCATTAATATCTATAAGTTCTTGGCACAGTGCCTTAAACTTCTTAAAGACAGAAACTACATCTTTTATATTTTCTGTAGTCATTGATCTTGTTAATTATTATAATAAAAGCATAATATTCCACCACCAACCATAGGAAGAAAACACACATTCACAAAAGGCTCAGGTGTGCAGCATTATTGTCTTTATCAGCTAGTACCCCCCATCCCTAGGCTGTGTCCCCTCCATATAAAAGCCACACCCTCCTGCCTCAAGTCTGCAACTCTGGGATTTAATTCTCAGAACCATCAGTGGAGCAGGCCACAGTGATCTTTACCTGAGACATCACCCACTCCTGCCTCCCAACCTGCTGCCCTTGCTCTTTCACATGGTTTTTCTACAAAGCCTGCCCTTAACTTCAGGTTCCGAATTCCTATCTCAGATTCTGCTTCTATGAAACCTGACCCAAAACTAAGACAGAAAAGTGAAAAATCTCTTCATTATTGTGGTTCTAATTATGGAATTGGGCTTGATTTCCTTGCTATTTCAGATTAAGGAAATGCAGGACAGAAAAACTAAAAAATGCATGAGAAATTAAAAAGGACAACTCCACCCCACCCCCACTTATACACCCATGTCCAAGGTGTTTTCTAAGTYATCCCCATCAAAAACAGAGAACAGAAAAGGGCTCATATTGGAAAAAAAAAATACCCTGGGGATCACCAATTTTCATTCTTCTAGATCTCGAGCTGATCCCAAGATATGTACCTTTGCAAACGACTTGGTAATTAGTACAGCAGTCTCCCCTAAGCAAGCAGTCCTCGGAGCAGTGACACGCATTTTCCTCATTCCGTACTTCTCCACATCTGTCCTTAGTACACTCCCAGCCTCGAGCTGAAATCATCACAATAAAACACTTTCACTGCTGCATACAAACCAAATGAAAGAGGCCACAATTGCTTATGGGTTTCCAACAAAAAAAGCTCAAATCCCACATCATTTCATCTGCTTGTGAAATCTGAGTCAGCTCAGGCCTAGAGGTATTTGGAGGATTTACAGATGGATGAATTTCTAATGTTTCAAGGCTGGGGACAAACTCAAAGTACAATTGACCTCCTTTGGAAAAATGGTACCTGGAAAGGCAAGCAAAATATCTCTCCCATTCCCCTATTGTCCTAAGGGACCCAATAAAAAGCATGGTTTAAAAGATTGGTGATAGGGGTATCTATCATTGTAGAGATGGTCTCCATAGCTCTGCTCATTTATTTTCAGAAGTAGCTTTATTTAACTTTGATCAGCTTGATTTCAATGCAAATAATAAAGCTGGGCATGTAACATAGTGTTTTATACTGTATGTTTAAATTTTGTAAATGCACATACAAATTCACTGCTAGGAATTCATCTTAAGGAAATAGAAAAAAGTATTTATGTACATGACTGGTATTCATTGATACATTATTCTCAGTCGCAAAAGTTGAAGGAATATAAATGTTGATTCATTAATGACTTAGGTCTCAATACTTTGCTGAATGTAAACATTCAAAAGAATGATGTGGAGAAAGATTTATGGATATGGATACTCCAAAACATGTTTACATATGTCATATGTATATATTAGTGCATATACACACATGCATTCATACCAAACACGCGCAGAGACAGAGAGTAATCAGAGTTTGCAGTGAACCATCATGCTTATTGCTAGAGTGTGCTTGTATCAGCAATGAAGAATCTCAGAGATTTTCTCCCTTGACTTTTTTTTTTTAAAGAGAGAGAGAGAGAGAGAGAATTTTTTAATATTTATTTTTTAGTTTTTGGTGGACACAACATCTTTATTTTATTTTCATGTGGTGCTGAGGATCGAACCCAGCGCCCCGCGCATGCCAGGCGAGCGCAATACGGCTTGAGCCACATCCCCAGCCCCTTTCCCTTGACTTTTTATTGTTATTTGATATTTGATCCTGCCACCATCAACATTGTGTTTGAACATAGGAGAATAAACCATTTTATAAAAGGCTATTATAGTTCATCTTTATTAAGCCTGAGAGAAAGGCATGAGATACATTTAGAAAGAGCTAAGCTAGAGTCCCTTTAAACTTTTCAAGAAACTCTAAGATCAAGACTTTAGAAAATTGACATAGCATGTCAGGGACAAAATACTGAAGGTACGACAAACATAAAGCATTAGTAAAATCCTTAGTGCCAAGCAAACAAAGACTGCTGACTTGAAACAATTTTTGAAGSCAAAGAACTCTCTGGAACATCTGTTCCATCCATACACTCCATTTATAATGGTCTCAGCATTTAAGTTTGCAGAGCCACAACTAAGGAACATGGGGAAAGTTCCAAAGGAAGCAACAACGACAAAAAGAGGTGGCTACGTTCTTGGAAATGTATTATGAAAAGAAAGAGTCTAAAATGAAACTCTTCTTATTTTGCAGGGGCTGAGGGGCAAAAATCAGAATGAGTAAGGGAGTTGATGTTGATTTTCATATAAACCAAAGGGCTATGTATGGCTTAAGTAAAAGGGAATAGTGTCTCTATTTCTAACAATACACTGAAAATATAATTAATAACAGAGATTTTATGAGTTAGACTTTTTAAAGAATCATCCATGCATAAAAGTCTGAAAATAAGTAATAACTGGCCAAGGGAGCTGTGGAATCCCCTTCTAGGGGTGATAAGAACAGGGTTGGCCACTGTCTTTCTTAGGTAGTTTGGGGCTTCGCCTGGAGGCATGATGGTGACCTCATAAAGTATCTTAAAAGTCCATCTGAAATGTTTACTTTTGAAAACAGAGCAAGTGTGATAGAAAAAGTCCCCAAAGGTGTTTTTTCTCAACTAATGTGCACTCATCTGAGAGCCTGTATATTCTAATGACTGTTCCACCATGTGAGAAATACAAAGAAAACCAGAAATCTTAGAGGAAGATTTGAAGCTACCCAGAGCACAAGACCCCAAATAGAATTCCAAAATAAATTTGCATTTGTACAGAAAATAGGGAAAGACATCAGGGCAGACCAGCAGTCACTACATAAGATGAAAGAAAACAAATGCTAGAACTAGGGCAGGTAAATTTAAAAAAAAAAAAAAAATTGTTTTTGAACCTAAAACTTTAAGAATGTGCACAATTTTGGCCCATGTACCCTGGCAGTGAACACAGAAATGGACAAGAAAAGGCAGAAATAGTGACTATGAACCAAAGCCTATACACAAACACTTTTAAAACTAGCATATGATGACTACACCTGTGAAGAGCCTTCTTTGGCCAGGCCCAGTGTGGGAACCAGTCATTCACACAGGACGTGTTCATCACACGACCAGCAGTCATTCAAGAAACAAAACTGAAATCCATAGTTCAGATAGGCCAAAGCAGGGGGCAACTCCAGGGCATCCAACATCACGGAGCCTCTAGGCCGTCTACTGGAAAGAGAGAGGACACCAAAGTGACATACCTGTCTTCAAACAGAGCTCATCAAAATCATGACAGCAACTGCTGTAACTCTTACACAAGTTGTCACACCGACAATCAGGAGGTCCAACCTCTTGAAGTTCAAAACATCTTCCCTTGCAAGATCCAGAGGTGTTGGTCCAAGGGGAGTCCGATAGCACTGCAAGAGGTAAAGGCAATGATTTAGGAAGGGGGTCATGACACTGGAAGAATGGCCCTGGGAAGCCATGCAGGATGGAGCTGTAGTCTGACCCTAGAGGAGAAGTCTGGCCCCATCACCTGCCACCTATGCACCCTGGACACATTGCTGAACTTGCTGTGCCACTGTTTCCTCATCTGTCAAATAAGAGGATCCATAAAAGTACCTCTAGATTGAAATGAAAGTTAAACCACCAAAGGAAAACATTTAGCAGGGTATCAAACACATAGAAAAAGTAAAATCTGTTAGCTATTGGTTTCATTATTATTTATTATTACAAATGTGTCAGGTTACTTCCCCAGTAGAAATAAGAATTTGTTTCCCTATTTAATAATGCATTGCTTTTTTTTTTAAAAGAGAGAGAGAGAGAGAGAGAGAGAGAGAGAGAGAGAGAGAATTTTTTTAATATTTATTTTTCAGTACTTGGCGGACACAACATCTTTGTATGTGGTGCTGAGGATCGAACCCGGGCCGCACGCATGCCAGGCGAGCGCGCTACCGCTTGAGCCACACCCCCAGCCCCTGCATTGCTTTTTATAAGAAAAATTAAGCTCAAATGTTCTGAAGACAGTCTGAAATATGTGATGGAATAGAAGAAGACTTTTACTATCTCTTCTAACCAAAAATCTATGTCATAGCCAGTGTTATACAAAYACAAACTCCACAATCTCATCTTGTCAAGAACAAACCCTCTTATCATTAKTCTCATGTGATAAAATTATAGTCCTAGAAACCTCGAGTCATCTAAATTTGGGGAAAAGAAATAATTCCATGAGATGAAAATTTCACAAATTCATAATTTACAGGAAATGTAAGTTTAAAAATTAAGCAGTAATTTTATTCACTGTAGTACCTAAAAAATAAAATGTCTAGGAACAAATTTAATAACATGTATAGAACCTGCATAAAGAACACTTTATAACTTTACAAAAAGACTTTTCAAAAGGTCTAATTCCATAAAAATTCATACCACCTTAGATGTAAAAATATTATGAAAATATTAATTTTTCCTATATATCCCTAAAGGTTCAATGCAATCACAATAAATATATCTACAGTTCTTGAAACTTGAGAGGATAAAAAAGATGTATGTAAAAAGAAATATATGAAAATAGGAAAACACTGAAAAGGAAAAGTAATTTGGTGACTAGACAGAAAAGTATATTCTGAAGTTAAATAATTAAAATAGCTTGGTACTAGAAAATAAGTACATCAGTGTTATATATGGTCCCAGGAATAGGAACCATATATAAATGCTAAATATATGAGAATATATTGTATAATAAAATGACATTTAAAACCAGAGAAAGAGAAAAGGATTAATCAGTAAGTTGTGACTGGAGAAAAGTAAGCTGGACCCTCACCCCAGTTAATAAGATAACTAATTTATGGTGAATGTAAAATATAAACTGATAACTGTTTCTAAGAATGCAAATTTTTGTAAAATAGAATACAATTTAGAAACATCTATCAACATTTTAAAACGTGCATAACTCTTCCAGAATTTCATTACTAGTAGTTTACCTCTCATATATAATTGTGAAAGTTCTCCAAAATACATGCACACACACAAAAAAAAATGACCATTATTCACTTCTTCTTCTTTTTTTTTAATGTGCAGAAGGAAGGGTCCCTGAAGTCAACCAAAGGTACTTTATCCATCAAGAAAGAAAGAATCCCTACATTTATAAGTGGAATGTTGCTTGCCCTTAGAAGAGTGAGTCAGATCTGTATAGGCTAATGAAAAATCCACAAAACATATAAACAATTTTTTTTTTTTTAAAGAACAAAGTACCAGTAAATGGATGGAACTGGAGACATCATGCTAAGTGAAATAAGCCAACCCCCTCCCCCAAAACAAAGGTCAAATGTTCTCTCTGATATGTGGATGCTAACACACAATAAGGGGTGAGGGTAGGAGAATAGAAGTTCATTGGAATAGAAAAGGGGAATGAAGGGAAGGGAGGGGGATGGGAATAGGAAAGACAGAATGAATTACACCCAACTTTCCTATGGTCCTTTATAAATACACAACCAGTGACACTCCACATCATGTACAACCACAAGAGTGGGATCCTAATTGGAATAAGTTATACTCCATGTGTGTATAATATGTCAAAATATATTGTACCGTTGTGTATATCTGAAAAGAACAAATAAAAAGAACAAAGTAGCCGGGCAAGGTGGCACACGCCTGTAATCCCAGTGGCTCAGGAGGCTGAGGAAGAAGGATCTTGAATTCAAAGCCAGCCTCAGCAAAAGCAAGGTGCTATGCAACTCAGTGAGACCCTGTCTCTTAAAGAAAGAAAGAAAGAAAGAAAGAAAGAAAGAAAGAAAGAAAGAAAGAAAGAAAGAAAGAAAGAAAGAAAGAAAGAAAGAAAGAAAGAAAATACAATCTAGGGCTGGGGATGTGGCTCAGAGTTCTAGTGCCCCTGAGTGCAATCCCCATTACCAAAAAAAAAAGAACAAAGTACATAATAGTGTTACAGTATTAAGGATTATGTATTAGATTTTGTGCTAAAAAAGAGAGATAAAGAGAGCATTAAGGACAAGAGATAAGGATGGAAATAACAGAGTCAGAGGTGGAGAGGGAAGACAGAGACAGAGAGGGAGGGAAAGACTGAGAGTAAAGGGATTAAGAAAATGTGCAGGTGTGAATTAACCTTTTTCTTCCCTGTAAGAAACTGTTTACAGGAATTATATTTCTGGAAAATGACTGAGAAAATTAATTTCTGTAATTTGAAACTACTGGCGTTTTACAAATTTGTGGGTAGTTCTCTGGATTTTTTTTTAATCGCTTGATTACTTTCTTCTATATATCACATATGTATATATGCATGTGTGTGTGTATAAAACATGTCATACAATATATAGTACATGTAAATACATTAACAAGTATTATTTATAACATGCTATTTGTAATTTTATTTCCATGTTTATGAATTTCATATTTTTAATAATCCACATGTATCACTTTTAAAAATCAAGAAAAAGTGAAGAACAGGAGAAAAGATGTTAAGTGACATTTCCCAGTTCATCCACACCATGTATTTGAACATCCTGCTCATCCTGGAGTCCTTTGTCTTCTTTATAATCAGCATCACCCAATGCTAACCTTTATGGCATCAGATCAGTTGAACTAAAGCAAACAGATTCACTAGACCATGAAATGTGAAATGCTTTCGCATGGTTGATTCTGTGATGTTGAAATACATACAAACCACATCAGTTCAGTTTAGGAAATAATGTCAGTTTCCACTGCAGTGCCTTACCTCTGGTCTAAAAACCACATTTTTTCTATTGACTTTGGCTAACCTAAGAACAGTGTATGCTGAACCACAGGAAACCATGGCAAGGAGAAGGAATTGAAGGGGGGGGGGATGATCCTATAGTAAAAATAAAGATAAGGAAAAACTTGTAGTTGAATATTCCTTTTTTAAGGCTCCTGGTTAGATAGAATCACTGCATTGGTAGCTAATAAATGGTGAGCAGTTCTCACTCCAATGAGCTGCATACAGAAGCCTGCTCAGCTCTGCTGAGAGAGGAGGAGGCCTACAGGCATGTCATTCACAGGTGTTTTWTTGTTTTTGTTTTTGTTTTTGTTTTTTTTACCTGCCTTGTCTCCTTTAGGGGTCCCAGAAAGCATTTGAAATTTTCCTACACTTATGCCCGGCATATTCTTTTTATCTTAATCTATTCCCTATATCTTTTTTACTTTCAAAATATCCATATAGGCCAGGAGTAGTGGTGCACACCTGTAATCCCAGCAGCTCAGGGAGCTGAGACAGGAGTATCATAAGTTCAAAGCCAGCCTCAGCAATTTAGCAAGGCCCTAAGCAACTCAGCAAAACCATGTCTCTAAATATAATATCTTAAAAAGGACTTGGGATGTGGCTCAATGGCTAAGCACCCCTAGGTTCAATYCCTAGTACAAATAAACAAACAAAATCTGTTGCAAATGCTTCAACATTTTGTGCTCTTTTTTCATGCCTAGTACCAAAATGATTTTTACTAGTAACCATTCTTTCACTTTGTGCCTTGCTTTGTTTTTCAATGTAATTGACTYTCACTCAAGGGTTGATCCTTATCACAGCCCTCCTGACCAAGCTTTAGACTGAAGACAGTTTTGTTAGAGCTGYATTTACATTCATAAAGCAAAGATACATCTCATAAAAAATACTCTACCCAAGATTGTGTTATCGACAGCTTCAAACAGGAGTGAATTCCTGAGCCTGTGTGGATTAGGGGATATCTATGCCCAAATTCGCTCTGGGATGACAGGAATCACAGGGGCAGAAAAATGCAAAGATAGTTTGAGCCATACAAAGCCTCTTCTAACCCTAAGAAATTTGAGCTGCCAATGCTTTTTCAGTAAAAGAGAAMGGCAGAGAGTAGGAGAATGTTCGCTTTGCCTGTCCAGGTCCTGATGCATCTTGGCTACCTGTTTCATGACAAGTTTTGGGTCCTATTCATTTTCTAGGAATTCTGTATCTCATCCTCTTCATTCTAGCTTGCTTTTATTTATTTATTTGTGTGTTTGTTTGTTTGTTTGTTGAATTCCTGGCCCAGGATCCATGTCTTTCTTTCTATACCAGAGAACAGGTTTGGGGGACTTTTCTTTTTATTGTGCCCGATTCAGCACCAAATGTGGAAAGATTAGTTGATTATACATCTGAGTTTTAAATTCCAAGCCCCCCTTTACTTGACCTAAATCAAGAGAACCTGGACCTGAGCACCTTAGTTCTTTAGCTCAATTAGAGGATGGCAAAAAAAAAAAAAAAGCAAGGAACCATGAACTTGTGGCCTCCCATGATTTTCCTGAGATCCCCACAAAAGCTTGAAACTAAAAAAGAAGACAAACCCTAAAGAGCAAGCAAACAAAAAGTACTCAGAAGTATTAAGTTAGAAATACATAGTAAGTGTGATAGGGCCTTCAAATTAGATCTTAGGAGGCACTTGCCAATATTTTTATGTAATTCAAATTACATTGCTGCCTTTAAAATCATATATTTAAATGATGTTATTTTACTTCGATGATAAAGTCAGTCCTAGAATCATGAGTAACAAATGTTATAGAACCTTACAAATATATTGTTATTTTTTCAAAAGGACATTGGATTTTAAAATTAAATATATACATGATATGCATACCAACAGTGCCATACACTTCTTMTTTTTCATAGAAGTATAATTTCATGACTTAAAGAAATACCAATATAAATCATAATTTATTATTTCATTCAAAAACCTTTTTTTTTTAGAATATCCCATCTCACTGTACACATACACAGAGAGGATTGGAGAATTCTGGTGTCATTTATTCCATAGATATACAGAAAAAAATAATGAAAATGTATACCTCTTGGGAAAAAGCGTAATTGATGAGAAGAGTCGTGATCAAAATATAAATCCATCCCRGGCACCCCATCATATTTCCCTCGAAATTCTCCCACACAGGAAAATTTTCAAATTTGGGTAATGACCAATAAGGGAGAGAGTCTTTAAATTGAAAACATGAAGCCCAGCCCAAAGTTGGAAGGTTTTTTCTTTCAAACTTCTTCTAACAGGCTGCTCCTGTTTTCAGAGTTTGGGACATTGCTCCCTATCTGTCCCTCCCATTCATTCTGGTTCTCAGCCCAGGTGTTTCCTGAAAGTGAGAAGAAAGCCCTGAATTGGATTTCAAGTTGTGGTTGTGCCTTTTCTCAAAAGCATTAAAACAGAAAGGGTTCCCCTGGGTTGCCCTGTTTGAAGTAAACCCAGGGAAACCCCAAGGGCAGCATGGATGCCACTCAAGATTCCACTCAGCTCTAGAATTTAATACTGTCTTATGCCTCTTCTGGAATATCTGATTCATCTTTTTAGGTAATACTTTCTTGTTTTGAAGTTGCTTTTATTTTTCTGATGATTCTGACTTCACCCTTTAGCAAGCAGCTCTATATACAGGCCTGCTCTGCAGCTCTATATACAGGCCTGCTCTCCACCTCTCTGCTTCCTAACATCACTTTCTATAAATACCCACTCATGGGCATCACTGTTTCCTCATCTTCAGAGCTGCTAGGCCAGATTTGATCAGGTTTTTTTTTTTCTTCTTTTTTTTTAATATAAATAGTTCCACCTGGAATAATATAAATAGGTGTTTTCAAACACCTGTACTTTCAAAGAATTTATCAATAAAATGTCCTCCTATGGAAGGCCTCACAAACTACAAGAAAATAGATTTCTTTGTGATTTAAATCAAAAGTTAAAAACTTAATTAAATGTCTAACCTATTCAGAGAGCCTTAAAGATAAGGAGTAGCATGAATCTGAATGATTTGCAAATCTGCTAGCAAACAATGAAACATTGTCACCTTAAATCATGGTTTTATTAGCCCTAGGAATACATGTAGAAACTGGCCTTACAAGTGAAGATAAATTCAATGTATCATCCTATTTTAATAAGACTTCTAAAATTTTCAATAGAAAATGATCCTTCTCACCCCTAATACCATTTCTATTTTCTCTGTGATTCACACACAMAAAAAAGTTTTTACTCATAAAATTATTTTTGATACTTTACATTTCATATTTATCTACAAATTTCAGTTGTATATTTTGAAAGTTTCTTGTTAAACCAATGAAAAGGATAATTGGATTGAGCTTTCAGGTTTCTATTAGCCAGGTATTCATGAGCTCACAAGTTTCCTTTTGTCTTTCAAGTATTAAGTTGCATATATTTCAAATATACAGGTGGATATTCCATTTCCACCTGGGAACTAAAAGAATATGTATGTCATAAGCTTCAATAAAGTAGACTCCCCCGTACCATCATAATCCCACACACATACAGGTGTACATGAGAACATGAACACCTGTGCACACATAAATTCTCTTGCAGTCTTTTTAAAACCAAATCAAGGGATCTGCATTAGATGTTCAGGACAAAGATGTCAAATTGGATTGCAGTTGTTACTCACATTTTCTTTGAAAATTGATACCTGCCATCCTGCTTACCTGAGGGCCCTTTATGTTTACTCAAAAGAATTATAATTTGCTCTGCTCATTTTATACCTTCTAATAAGTCTTTATGTGTCTGGTAAAATAAATCTTATTCCACCCTTACTTCCAATAGATCACTAGTTCCTAAAAATAAATCCAGCTAACAAGTATGCTAGTTAATTAATTATAAGTTTGTTTACTCTGCCACAACCTTGAAACCAATGCCTCAGTCCATAGTACAACAGTAAGGATCTACATGTGTGTAGAACATTCTCCACTGTTGCTGCATAAAAAACAAGAGGCTGCATGCTTTTGAACAGTGGATCTTGCTTTAATCAGTCCAGAGCTGGCCATATATGAATACCCTTTGTGTTCCTTGTGTTTGTTAAAAAAAAAAAAAAAAAAAAAAAAACTTGAAGCACTAAGCTTTGTAGGATTTCTTTGGAATCCAAAAGGATTTTTTGAAAATGGGAAAGCAGGAGTGCTTTCCCTCCTGGTGTCTTATCTTAATCCACATATAAAATTTACCCAGTGTTTTCTAATGTGAAGGCTTTACTAACAGAATAATCAGTCACATATATCATTTGAAAAATGTCCCTTCTAGGCACATATGGCATTTAAAAAGACATAAAAACTCTGCACTATGCTTTCACCCAGTTTCCAAAGTACATCTTTGGTCTTTTCTCTGGAGGAATCAACCACAGCACCTAAACAGTAGGTAAGCTACATCAGAAGAAAAATTAAAAATAAAAAGTGTGCAGACATAACAAAACACTTCAACTCAGACTTAAATTGTATTGTACCCTAAGACAAAGCTTCTCACTCATAGGTGGAAGTTTAACTAATAAATTATTTTAGATGCTATCATAAAGCCTGAAACAATCAGTAATTTAAATTATTTAATAATCAAATGYTTTGTAATGTATTTAAAATTATATAATTTATAGATTATAATGTAGACCATACTACTTTTCCAAAAGTAACATGCATTTGTTAGTTCTTTTAGTTGTTTCTTATAACATTTGGAAATAATTTAACATATACAAAGTATTTTTGAAGATTACTAAAGCCGACCTACGTTTTCCACATTTTCTAGTGGAGAACACTCAAGCCTAAGGGACAAGAAAGCAAGATGGAAATCAGGATTTTTTTTTTTTTTTAATCCAGAAGGAAATTAGAGATCACCCAGGTCAGCTTCTCAGTGGGCAGCTAGGGAAGAGACTTCACACATGACTTGCCCAAGACCTCACTGCCTACTATATGAACAGAGAGTATCAGTCTAAGACTTTTAAGACTATCTCCCAAAAGAGTCAACTTCAAAAATAATGGATATCTTGATTTTATACATGTATTAAGGAACCAGCATTTAATTTCTCAATATCAGTTTTAACCAAAAGTAATATATGAAGAGGAAACAACAGCAAGAAAGTCCCATTTTGAATGCATTGGAAAGAACCAGCTGTTTGCTGTCAAGTTGCAARCTGGTCCACGTGACCTTACTAGGGGTTGGATCCCCCTGGCTGTTAGTGGCACTCAAGAGGCCTTTGAAGAGAGCATTTGCTACCAATAAAAAACAGCATTCTCTTCTAGCCCAGAGACCCTTCACCTCCCTCCCCAACAGAAGACAGCTCCTTCTGTCCATTTGGCTTCCTGGGGCTGCAATTTTTATGATCTATTTTCTCAGTCTTGGCCCAAACCACACCCCACTTCAATTCACTAACCCACTGCTAATATTATTCTTTCAACCTTCTGGCATGACTCAAAAGCAACTTACTTGATGTAAGGAAGATTTAGTATTCCATCAAGGCATGTATCACAACTTGATTAATAATAAAGTTCATGCTGGCTAAACAGAGACAGGTGAGAATCTTTCACTGTGGTCAGATCAAGAAATACAGAGAAACACAAAATTTACAGAAAGACAGACAAACACTCTGGGATCTCAGAWAAAGTCAAGAAAATATTGCCCCCTAGAGTACCCATTACTTCAAATGTAATTTTTATTTCTAAAACTATCAGCGGCTCCAATTTCCAGGAAATTAACCAACTCATTGCTTAAGACCTGGTCAGTTAAGCCCCCTCCGGCTGCACAAGGAGCTCCTTCATGAGAATTCCCACTCCGCTGATGGTTCAGCATATTGTAAAAGGAAACTCTTTCACTTTGGTTCGATTAGCTAAGTCAGGGTACACTTTTAAAACTCACCTTTCCTTATGCAAAAGAAAAAACACAATGAGAAAAATCCATCCCATAAGCTCTTTGAAGTACCTCCTCTGTCTTATGTTTTTCCTGTTTGGGGTAAATCTTGATCTTAAAATTTTAAATCTCTATAGAGTTTCATAGAGTCAGATCACTGCCTTTTTTACTTTCACTCCTCTTTTTCCTGGATCAGAATTATCTGGTAGCAAACACTCTATTTTACATCGCATGACAACAAATTGCATTTGTATATCTCCAGTCCTAACCCAACACCTGTTCTCTCACCACATCTGCTTTTGCCTTGGCTTTGAAAAAATGTTTTAATTTTATCTCAACATTTATAAATTTCAAAGTACACAGACTTAAAGGTACGGTTGTTATGAAGCCACCATCAATGTGCTCTAAATAAAACCACATTTTTTTTCACCTGAATTTATATATACAGCTGGTTTCATCCCAGAGGAATCTAGGACTAAATTAGTTATCCTGCAAGATTACCTTAAAGATGGATTTCTTAAGGACTTTATGTTGATAACTAGTGAATAATATTTTTWAAAGAACTGAAATGCAAATAGTTGTTACTCTTACCTGTCAGAGGGCCTTCATCCCATCCTTCTGCCCTCTTAATTCGACTTGCCGTGAATCCACAGCAGATATTGACACCAACAGCAAAAGTGAACAAGGATATTACCTACAGGAATAGAGAGACTGAGTTGTCAAAGACAGCTAGACAGGACTCAATCAAATTACATGAAGCAATTCCAGTCCCTGCAACATCCCCAATCCTACAACTTCCAAAATGCATCCTAAGGTGCTGTCTCAATCTGAACAACAAACAGAAACACTCAGATTCAAAAAGGAACTGGTTCTGAGGAGCAAGCCTTTTCCCCTGCGGTTCCATCCTTCGCCTACCTGGTAAGACTGGAAGGAGCCTCTTCTTGCCATGTCAGGATTCTTGGAAAGCTTTCTGCAGCGTGTTCTCTGCCTACATGGAATGCCCTGCTCCGGGGCTCCGCGTTCAGTCTATTAACTACAAGCAATCCCACCTGGGAAGTTGACAGGCTCATCTGATTTGTCCAGAGCTTGATTTCATCACGGTTTGTTCAAATTGCAGCTCTGAGCACAAGAGGCTTAAAGCATCATCCTCCTTGTCCCCACCCCCTTATCGGTCCCTCCCCTAACACAAACCCTTTCATGTGGTATCCTCTGGCAACGTGAAGATTTCTTATGTAGCCGTGGCCAATAACAGCGCACGTTCGTTTTCCTTCCCTCACAAAAACATGGTTTGTCAAAAAGAAACCAAATGTATTTCATCCGATAAAAATGAAACAGAGCCGCACAGAGCTTTCTACCAGCTTCAAGCTTTTAAGGTTTACAATGTAGTTATTCAGTGTCGTCAACCCCGGCTTTATTTTTCTTTTCTTTCCTTTTTTTTTTTTTTTTTTTAGAAGGAAAGTTTTACCATTTGTAAGCATAATAACTCTCCCTGTCTTTTCCATTTATTTATTTGCTGGCAGTTTGAAAGACCCTGTCCCTATTACGACGTTCTCTGCTACTTCTGATGACTCTGRTATTTCTCAGGATGAAATCTCCCGAAATTGCAACTCGCACAAGAGACAGCATTCTTTTCTTTTCCCCATGTCATTGTTATATTTTAGAGAAGTAACTTTTATCAAAATACTGAGAATGCCAGCTAAGCAGCCTGCAGTCCTCCTGCCCAGTGAGAAAAGACAAAATAACTCCAGGCTCTGGCCATTCCTGCCAAAAGTCAGCTGGCTTTGAGGCATTTGGGAGGTAAGGAGCAGAAAGAGGAGGTGGAGAGGAAAGGGARGGTAAGCTTTATTAGCAAGTGAATGGAGGATGGAAATCTCAATGGCAGCAAGAATTTAGATTTCAAGAATTGTTTTTCTGGTTATTTTTCTCTTCAGTTATCATCTAGCTCCCATCTAGGACACTCTAATGTCCTCTGAGGCTCTTGTGAGTGTAAAAGTTCCTTTACTGAGCACTTTGGAAATCACAGCACATTTCGAGGAGAAATTGAGGCCTCTAAATCTGAAAGTTGTTTAAATATTGTGTGCCTTTAAGATTCAAATGAGGGGAGGTTTGTTTGTGGCTTTTCCGGCCAGGCCCAGGGACTGTCTTTTCTAGCACAGTGCATATGCGCATACGTAAACAAACAGGGACTCACAGCTCAACCAATTACTAACGGAGCAGAGCCTCTGTGCAAATAAAACATGATAGCACAAAAGCAAGGACTTGTTTATAGTGGATTGTATAGCAGGCCTGGGTTTCATTATAAATTCTAGAGTTTAGTAACAGCTAATTGAGAATACACTGCCAAACTTTAAGTTGCCTTTCTAGAATTCTTTCAGTTTGCCCTCTTAAAAGAGATGACAGGCTTATGAATTTTTCTATATAAGTCTCTTGCTTTAGTCTGTCTGCCATACTGAACTGATTTTAGAGTTGGGTATTTAGCGAGGCTTATAAAAGATGTTAACCCCATGTAATGTTTTTCTACTATTTATGTTAAATTTCAAGATGCAAGCCSGTCATTTTAGGGGGAAACTATCAACCAAAAAGGAGAACATCAAGGCCATCCTGTTATTTCATTGTATGCTACAGTGCTCCCCATGTTCTAAAAATCAAGCACCCTCTACTCTCCAGCCTCTCCAGGCTTCSCCAGAGTCCAACAACTTGAGCCTCTGTCTGACATTTGATTGCAGAAACCCAGCATGGGGACAATGACTCTTGTCCTTGGAGAAAAAAAAACAAAACGGAGTTCGGAAGCAGAACATCAGCCATTATTTCATTGTATTTTAGACAGGATGACTAGCCGTATGGGAGAGAAAAGCTGGTAAGTATAAAAGCCAAGTTTAGGCATAATTGACTTCTGCACACCACTTGGTACCATTTCCAAAAGAAGTGAGCTTAGTCGCTCCTGCTGCTAACTATTCTGCTAAATTCACTTTATCTTCTACCSGGTCGTGGAGCGTCAGGAAATTTTTCACATACATACATCATCACCATCATCATCACCACCTAGGTATTGATACACAGAACTTTACTAAAAAGATTATCATTATAAATCCACTTCCAGGAAGATGGCCAAAGTCCCTCTGTTGGGCACCAAATCAACTACACAATCCCATTACCCCTCATTATGCAAAGCTGAGAAAGAAAAGAAAAGCCTGGGAATGCAAAGTAAGTTAAGAAATTCCACCAAAATGACTGGAATATAGTTCAAAACCTTCTTTTATAAGAAACCCCAATTAAGAAAGTTCACCTGCTGTGGTGTCTAAGATTTTGGGAGAAATTGACACATGGCTGGCTCAGGAAACAAGAAAGAGTATGGGAGAATAAACCAAACTTCCAGCTTGGTTTATTCACCTAGCCACCTTTCAGAGAACACTGCCCCCTGGCAGAAGGAAACCTAGAACTCTAAATACATCTTTCATCAGCCTCAGCCCCTAAAAATCACTCCGTGGTTCTCAATCTTTATTAGGCATAACAGCTACCCTGGGGTTTGTTTGAAATGTTGTTTATGCCCTGTTCCCTGAGATTCTGATTCCCTGGTCTGCAGGGTGGGGGAGGAGAAAGGGGTGCTTAGGGGCCAGACAAGAAGGGAACAATAGGTTATTCTGATGCAAGTCATACAAGGACTACATTTAGAAAAACAGAACATGAGAATAAATTACTCTGAATTAATTTACTCATGCCCTCATATTGAATTGCTTGGCTTCAGTCATAATGTAATTTTTAATACTTTCACTATTAATTGAACTTTAAGTTTCTACAAGACAAGCAAGCTATGGCTGTCCTTCCAGGGGCATCATCTCCAAACTGTAAGCAGCAGATCAGCATTTTATTTACTTTGCTGATGGTACACAGCAGCAGTGTGTATGTTGCTTAATTGCAATACAGTAGTTGCATTTATACAAATGCACAGTCTATCTTTTCATGAAATAATTCTATGAATCCTTGTTCCCAAGCCATGATTAAGATAAGAGGGCTTGAGGTGAACAGTGAGATTTGAAAGATATGAAACTGAGTGTTGTTATTCTTGCTTCCCACAGCAATTATGAAGTTGTCATGAAATGATTAAAACTTTATCTACATCCAGTTTCTCATTATGCAGAACTGACATGACTTGACTTGGCTTAACATTATTCCCAGAATAATTATAAGATAATGYATGATGTTAGACAATTACTAACCACATGATTTTCAGAACTATCATTTTGCAATAACTACAGCATGTACACTGTGGAAGTAATAAAACAACACCACTGTATATTCTTCCTATTCTATTTTCAAATTCTTTTTTTTTATTTTTTTTAGTTGTAGATGAACACAATATCTTTATTTTGTTAATTCATTTTTATGGGGTGCTGAGGATCGAACCCAGTGCCTCACACGTGTGAGACAAGCGCTGCACCGCTAAGCCACAACCCTAGCCCCTCTATTTTCAAATTTTTTAAGCCTTGTATTTACATTCTGTTGTGGAAGAGCAGTATTAGAAAATTAAGAAAAAAGTTGGACAACAATCATAGCCAAAGGGACATACCAATCTAAATCCAGCTGAAAATTCTGACAGTTAATGGGGGAACAAGCTGGCTCAATTGCTCCCACAATCCAGAACTGCAGATATTTATATAAAGTAGATGCCACTTAAAATGCTAAACCAAAGAAGCAAAGTTTTATGGGTAATGTATGGTCCCTGGGGGTTCTCCAGTGGAGAAATAGCACATGCCTTTTCAAATGTAAACAGGACTTGTTCTATTAGTTATTACATAATTGAAAGCTGAAATCAACACTGTCACATCTTAAAGTGACTTCAACTTATATTATAAACTCACATGCATTACATTTACTCCCAATGGCAGCTTAGTATGAATCCCTCACTGGAACAATCTCTGCCCTTTACGAATATTCATTCATTCATTGCACAGATATTCATTAGCTCCTACCAGGTACCAAGCACTGTTCTGGGTACTAGCAGTACTACCCAGGGAGCTAAACCAGAGATTGCCCTGCCCTCCACATTAATCACATASACACAGAAATGAATGTGCAATTGCAACTGTGAAAATGCAGATGTGTGGAGGTAAATGATGCTAGGAGAAACATATTATCCAGATTTGGCCTAATCAAGGAGGTCACAGATGATTTTGTGGGTTAGATGTTAACTGAGCTGTGATTTGAGGGGTGGATGGGAGCAATTAGATTCAGAGAAGAGGAAAGAATTCTAGGCAGAGAGAAGAATGTGCAGATGTTTTGTTTAGGATTGAGGCACAACACCCTCATGAGATAAAAAGACAGCCAATTTGACTGGTGTAAGAAGAGCAAAAGTGAATGCAGAGTGAAGTGGGACTGGAGAGGGTAGGAGAGACTGGGCACATGGCTTCCCACAGTTCATCTTAGGAGTATTGTCCTTATCCTGAAAGTAGTGAAAATGCCCGTAGAAGACTTAAGACAGGTGGAGTTTAATCAAATTGTGAAGAATTCATCTCTTCACAGTATAGATATGAATTAGAGGGAATTAAGAATGAGTACAGCGGTCAGTTTGGAAATCATGGCAATAATTCTGAAAAAAAAAAAGATAATGGCAGTTTGTATCCAAGAGGGTCTGGTGGTGGTGGAGAGGAAGAAAAGCACAAGAGTTACGGAAAAGATTTGCTAATGACCTGGGTA